GATGCATCTACTTTTCGGTAGTCTATAACTTAAGAATTCCATAATTTAGCGTGCTTGACTTGGAGCAAATCCGCGATGGGTGATCTCCTAGGAAGTTTACTAGGAAATGTGTGAGTGAGGATAAAGCATGCTGAAAAGTCTCGTATTGGTTTGTGGAGATAGTCATTGATTCTGCAAGTTGTCGGGTGTTACAAGTGGTATCAAAGCAGAGCCTCTTTCTCAGTACGGTGTGGTTCGAGGACGAACCAAGCGAAAGCTAGTGGGCATGTAACATCCCAAGGGCTGAGAAGGCTGGGAGTGATCGCCAGTTCATAAAGAGATAAGGCATGGACAAAGAGCGACTCATGGCAGGCTTCCAGCTGTGGGGTACATGAATAAATCGAATCAATACCCGAACAAGAGGGATCCAGAGGCTCTGCAGGTAGAGGACTGTACAACTAATGATAACTTAAAGGAATTAATATGTACTACCTATACCAACAAGATGTATTACTTTTCGGTAGCCCATAACTTAAGATCTCCATAATTAAGTGTGCTTTACTTGGAGCAATTATGAGATGAGTGATATCCTGAGAAGTTTAAGTCTTGTGTTGATTTGTGGAGACAGTGATTGATCATATTTGGATTTACTTTGCATTATTATTGCATATAATTTCTGCGCTATATATCTCACCACCCTTTCTAAAATAAAGAAACTTTGAAGTTGTCACTATATATATTATATAGAGCTCCATGACTATTTTTGTTCATCTCATTTTAAGAAAGAAAATTTACTTGAAGATAATGATTAAAGAATGTAAATACAAACTAGTTGTTTCGGACCGATACATTAAAGCTCTATACATAAAAGATCCAATAGACTCACTCTCACATTTTTCACTATGAAGAAAGCATCTTCAAGAAAGTTAAAAAAAAAAAAAAAAAAAACACACACACATGATTCTCGTGCCCTTCTATATCAATAGGGAAACTTTGACACATCACCCACTTATTGAGGATATTCTCATGAACCTTAAAGCAATATCATCTCACATACTATAAATAAGGGGGTTTAAGCCCAAGATGTTTTCCATTATTACTTAAACTTATTAATCAAATACTGATTTGAGCGTCAAATGCTTTGCAAGTATCTTTATATATTTCAGTCAAGTAAAGATCTCTGGCAATAGCATAATCATCACAAGGGGACATTCTGCTACATTTCATCAGATTCTGTTGCAAATTCTCTATAGATTTTAACTGAACCAGATTCAATCGTGTGACTAAACTCAATATTTCTTGGACTGATAATTGGTAAAAAAAAAAAAAAACCCGTAAAAAGAAATTAATAAATTTTTTAAAGTAATTAAGATAATTTAACGAAAGTCATCGAACACTTCTTAAGAAATATTTTTAAAATACTGGTTAGCAACATCCTTGAGATAAAGTTTTCTTTTGCTTTATGATGAGTTAAGGCGTGATTGGAAATAGGACATGAACTCAAGTCTTTTGACAGTGAAAGTTGGATGCATCACGAGAAGAGTAGGATTTTCTCTGTCATGAAAGTCCATAAAGACAATTTGGGTGGTGAATTTCGTGAGGGAGAGTAGTCACAAGAAGGATTAGCACAAGACACGAGACAAATAACAATGTTGAGAAAGTGAAAAAATATTTGTATATTCTGAAAGTTACCCTTCAAATTAGTTGGGCCTTATTTCCAAAAACTTAGCCTTCCATGACATATGATGCATAGATATCATAAAGAGAAAGGATAGGAGTCTCGTGGATGTGGATTAAGTCCCATGTGAGGCTGTCACAGGCACTATTAGATTTACATGCAAACAGATACAGCACCATTAAGATGTGGACCATTTTGCTTGTGAAAAGCGTCCCTTTTATATATCCCTATAAGAATCTGTATCCAAGGCATGCTGATTTGGTGGTGTCAGTGTATGTGTGTGTCTGTGAGAGAGAGAGAGAGAGAGAGAGAGAGAGAGAGAGAGTCATGAGAGTCATAATTTCTATGACAATCCACAAAAGCCCACTAAGGCCTGAAATCCCACTAAAGCTATAAAGAAAGTAGGTGATTTGGTTAGTCCTACTTCACTTGACCTTTTACTCTTTTAGTGGGAGATGAATATGATGGTGGAGAAATATATGTAACCTACGGTTTCACAAAGACCTCTCCTGTTGCCATCTAAATGATTATAATATGAATTATCATGAAAAAAGAAAAAAACTTAGAAATTTATGTCCCATGCATATGCATGTGAAGACCACAAGAAGTGAAGTAGAAAATTAGCCTTCCCTTTAGGTCAAATGGTTTTAGGCATGTTTTCTTATGCCATTTTTTGTCTTCTTGGTTCCTCTTTGTTTATTTATTTTAGAGTAAATATCTTTTCTGGTCTTCAGCAAATTTTACAATACCCGTTTTAGTCTCTAGCAAATAAAAAGGCTCATCATGGTCCTTAAGAAATTCAAAATGGACCCATTTAGTTGAAATTTGGTCCCTCACAAATTCAAAAAATATCCATATTAGTCCCTAAAAGGACTAAAATGAGTCCATTTTGAATTTCTTAGGTACCACGATGGACCTTTTTATTTGTTAGGGACTAAAGCGGGTATCGTAAAATTTGCTGAGGACCAAAAAAAGTATTTAGTCTTAATATTTTATTTGGTGACAGTGCAATTTTCATGGTGTTGAATGTTGATTGCGATAGGACTCCCCCTCCAAAAAGTCACTTTTATTATTATTATTATAAGTTTAATAATATTCTAATCACATTAAAGAAAAAAATAAAAAACAAATATTAGAATTTTCAAAATTATTAAATGCATCGACATTTCACTTTCTTTATGCAAACATTCTTTTTTTTTTTTAATATAATCGTCAATTTAACAATTTATAAAATTTTAATATAAATTGCTACAATACTATATTAAATACTAGATTGTCAGTAGCTTCCAAACACAGTTAAATTATACATACAACAAGTTATTTGACAATGCTTAATAATAATATTATAAAAAAATCGTTTAGTCCAAACCAGTTAAATGCCTATAATCGGTTGCCAAATTTGAGGGGATATATTCAGCGTAGTACCAAAGGCAGTAACATTTTGGGGGAAATTCACTATACTTAAATAAACTGAAGTATAAAATAAATTCTTAGCTGTAACTAAAAGAGTAGCTCTAGCAGAAAGCATTCAAGTTGCATGTTAACCTTTAATTTGCTCTGGCTAACGTTATAACTCGTGTTAGATGAACTAGTCCCTGATGTCAAGAAGGTTCTTAGAAAGAAAACAAGGTTAATAATATTTATGTAACGCAATTTGTAGCATCACCCCAAAACATAAAAGGCTCTAGTAGATGCAAGAATCAGCTTTCAATCATAGGTTCAGGGTAATGTTTCTGGGTGTTATCTGGTTGCTTGATTTAATGAATTTAAAAGGATGTTCTTGATTACCTAAATAGAAAAGGGATATGTGGTAAACATTTCAAAATCCAGAAGAAATTGACCAAACAATATGGTGGGCAAAAACTAACCAAAACCAACTCCAAATTTTCTACTATTTTGTGTGCACTTGCACTAGAACAATAGTACATAAGCATACATACTTCTATCTTTTGATGAAACTTTTCCAAAAGAAAAGGATATGGAATGAAATGATGGCAATTGGCAGGGGATAAATGTACCCATATGTATACTTGTAGAGGTTTAAATTGACTAAGTGAATCTAGGAAGGTAGAGGGAAACCATCAGCAAATTCAGCCGGCGGAAACTCAATTGTCTTCAAAGATAATTAATCATAAAGCACAATTAGTACTCCAGTGATTCATATATCATGTCTCAACCAAAAAGAAACAGACTCCCATTAGAAACAACCTCTTTCGGAATTGCATTTAAATTCAATATAAATTCTTCTAAGTTAAGTATTGATGATTCACCATCTATATGATAAATTATCAATGCTTTCCCAGGGGAAAAAAGGAATTAAAACTGTCAGGATATTAGTTGTGTTACCATCCTGCATGACTTGTGTTACGTTATAGTGTTATTGGGCTAAGTTCGTACTAGTAATAGGACTTTGACCTAGACTATTAGTATAAACAGGAGTTTAAGGTCAGTGTTATGCATAAGAATATTTAGTGTCTTATTAGTATAATATTATATACCTCTTTTCCCTTTACCATCTAATCCCTAATATCAGCATGGTATGATTGGTATCTAATCCCTAAACTGTCAAAACGATATCAGAGTTACCATCCTGCATGACTTGATTCCGTCACTGTTTACACTGCCAAGTTCCTAAAATCAGTTGAGTCTCCATTTGGAATGTGGATTCAAGAAGCACGAATTTCGTACACGTGCCAGAAAAAAGAAGGTCCACGTAAGCCGGCATAGGTGACAAAAAGGAACAAAATTTCCATGTTGCCCATTTATCCAATTTTACATAAAATACATTTAATTTCCTAAGTCTTATTGATACAATCAATTAATGCCAGTAGCAATAAACAGAAAAATATACCGATATATTGATACTGAAAGCTTGTAATCCAATCAACAATAAATAACAACCAGAAGACATAACAAAGTCTGTCGCAGAAAAATGATAAAAATACAGACCAATTCGAGGAGCTCTATATCCTCCCCAAAGAGGTCCCAAATTCCACAATATCCTCCTTCAGAGTGCAATTCCCATATTTATTTACTGAGGGTTCCTTCTTTGCCATCATTCCCAGCAATTCTGTTATCCACGTCACAATGCACGCACCATTCACCACTTTTGTATGATTTGCACAAAGTGAGAGAATATTTCCCCTTAACAAATTAAGTGCTGACTCAGCATTAGGGAGAGATCTGCTGCAGCATCTCCTAGAACAAACTTTTGGGGGCCTATCACTTAATTTCAACAAACACAAGACGAGAAAGAATAGAATAGAAAAATACTGCCTAAGTTGACGTAGATTCGTACTCCTGAATATTGATTTCACAACAAATGGCTTGGAGAATTCCCCCCCCCCCCCCCCCCCCTTTTTTTCTCTCTCCTTTTTTCTAACCTAAAATTAACTTACAATTTAACCTTGGTGTGGCTCCCCAAACCGATTCTGAACCTGCCTGAGAACAGTCCTGTTGAACCTCATGCTGTACTGGAACTGCTCCGCAAGCCAGTGGCAACAGAGTCTTCATTGACAGCAAGATTGTTGTTTCCAATTGCATCAGGCACCTTCATAGAAGTTTCACTGAACAGCTTACAAGTCTCTAGCTCAAGAGCACCTTTAGCTGTTCCCTGCTGACCTGAATCAACTGTATTGTGTTCGATATCCAATCTTTTAGTGTTCTGCTCAATAACATGCCCTGCACAAAAACTAGAAACCAAGCAAATAGCAGAATTTACTATTTTGATAACTGGGGCAAGGAAGGCCAATAAATCTTTGTGAAGTTTAATGATTAAAACAGGGAAATTAAATCCAAAGAAATTTTGAAATATTTAATCCAAACAGTCTAAATGCAATTCATATTAACACCATCCATCAAACAAGAAAAAAAATACAGAAAAAGAAAAGTCGAAGTGGAACAGGGGAGGAGGGTAACATCAGAAAGTAAATTGGGAATAATTTAACCTGTTGAAATCCTAACTGCAAAACTATATTGAAAAGGGCTGTCAACAAGGAGATACTCTAACCTGTGCATCATTGGCGCCACATCATCGGATGATCCATGTTTTTGTCCTGAAGTAGTTATTTCTCTGCAGTCACTTTGTGAACCTGCATGGCATGGTTTTTCATAAGTAAAACTTCTACTGGGGGTTGGGAGAATGAAAACCATGAGCATGAATAAGAGTTTAATCTGATGCTTGTGCTGCAGCAACAAAAAGCAAAAGAGACTTGTACTTTTAAGTAGTAAAATGTATCTTCTCATTGTTAAAATAACAATTAACAATGCTCATGTAGAATTTTCCGATTGTTATCCTCGTGTATTAGATTCACGTATTGTCTTGCTTCTAAAATTTATTTGACTGACAAAATGGCACACTGTCATACTTGAAGTTCAGTGCAGTTGCAATGGATTATTAATGAATTGAATGTGTTAAAATAGCAGTAGCTGACCTATGGTTTGCTGATAAGCTCCAAAGTCCTAAGTGAAAAGTAGAAAAAATGAACCATGTTAGACAAAAAATAGATCCTCAAATAATTCTGAAGATATTACAAATGGCAGGGAAAAAAAAGAAAGATGTGCTTAATATATAAAAGCCAGTTCAGATGAGCACCTGTTTATGTTCAGAAATCATATTAGCTGGATCAGACAACCACGTTTCATGTTGGAAACTTTCCTGCTTCCTCTCCAAATCTGAAAAAGAAAAGAAAATTAAATGTGTTAAATATCTAACAACTTATTTATATTCCAAGGTATACATTGAAAAATGCCATTGAAATCATCTATAATATGACTGACTAGTGACTACCAGAATAAACCAACAGGTTTCCAACAGCAGAAGAATCCTACCTGGAGAGACCTGAGTACTTAATCCGCTATCTAATTTTGAAGATGCATCTACTGCATTAGTAAAATTATGTACTCTCTGTTCTAAACTAGCTTCAATATTTTCAATAGCTGAAGAATTAGCGTTACTTTTATACTCCATAGATAATGCAGACCAATCAACTTTTGAGGAGGGAAGTCTCCTTAGCATCTGCTCTGTAGTTCTGGATTGTACTCTTCGTATTTCATCCTGAATACTCCATGACCCAGCAGCAGGGGAACCCCTTTTCTCCTGCAGTCCAGTATCAGCACAAAAACTATGAAACAATCCATAAACAGAACATTTGGAAGGCATCCAAACGAAAAATCCAGCAATGATTGACAGAAACAATGCATGTAACTTCTTTGACAAATGAGATTCTGAAATATGAGAAATTCAACCAAGGGATGTCAATATAGTCTATCTTCTAGTTATAAAACAGAAGATGTATCTATAATTATAGAATGAAATAAGGCCGCTAACACTTAAAGAAGTAAAATTAGCTTATGGCTTTTTCCAGGACAAATCTTCTTGGGTTGTTTCCTATAGTTGAAGCTTTTGGTGAATTTCAAGATAATACTTTTTAAAATTTTACACACTTTTAGAAGCTAATTAACTTGCTCAACAATATTTCCTTATTTTTTTATAATCCCAAGAATAGAAAAAATTTAGAATGGTAAGCCAGCAAGCATCAAATTTATCCTCTCTTCTCAATAAACATATTTGTTCCCCGAGATCCATGCCATGTCAACTGATGTTGTTTCCCAAAGTTGAAGCTTTTGGGTAATTTCAAGATAATACTTTTTAAAACTTTACACACTTTCAGAAGCTCATTAACTTGCTCAAAATGATTCCTTAATATTTTATAATCCCAAGAAATAGCAAAACTTTAGAATGGTAAGTCAGCATGCATCAAATTTGTCCTCTCTACTGAAAAAACATATTTGTATCCCGAGATCCATACCATGTCAACTCATGTACGTGATCTGATAATAGATAAATACTCAAAACAGATAGATACTCTTGAATGCTGGAAATAAAATGTTCCTACATATGCTAAGAAAAAAAAATATCTTTCATGACACACATGAACCCTTCATAATGGACTCAGAATTGTCAGTTGACTTCCAAGTAAAAAATGCTTTGAAGCAAAGAATCCATTTAAAAACATGCCAGCTTTTGACAATAGCAAACCATATCATGAACTTGGTCAGCATATCCACTTTCAGGCAAGCCAATGGATTGGATTGATTTGATTAGGTACAAAGCATGGCTAAAGCTCCATAATTAATTAACCATCTTATACTTTTTTAATTTTGTCATCTTGTCACATTTCAGTGGTCACTTGCCAGCCCAACTTACAGATTTAATGCTAAAAAAATGAGATTTTCTGATATCCTACTCAGCCTTCAGACAGCCGCTACTCATCCCTTTATCTTGGTTTTTTTTTTTAAAATGTTTTTATACAAGCCTCCACCTACCATCAAATTGGCATCACCCTCAGTCTCTCACTTCATACTTCCACCATCTCTCTTCTTCACTTCCTAACCTAATGACCTCTGCTTCCCCTAAAAAAAAAAAAAGCAGCTCAACATTTATAACAGATTTTGCAGATGCAAGATATGTTCTGCCTTTCCTGATAAAGATCTAGTACTTTGGATCCTCAACTTGTTAGCTTGAATTCAACAGCCTAAGTTCATCGAAGCTGCAATCGTGGCGGAGCCACCGCCGGGGGGAAAATTTGACTGCAAAATAATTTCTTGACAAATAAAGTTATTTTCTCTTGGTTTTGTCATTTCTTTAAACCCTAAATATTTATCTATCAACTCAACCTGCAAACAATGCGCCCTCGTAAATAATTATCTTCAGTATTCACATTTTCTAAAGATAGCCAAACCAATTGCTGCACAACTGTCCTGAAAATAAAATAATCTCTTTCGATTTATTACTTTGGATTCACTTTGTATTCAATTGTCTATTGATGAGTACTCTATCTCCATAAGTGTTCAAAATTTACACTTTCTGAACTTCAGTAATTAATGAATAATTTTCTGGATTAATCATATTCCTCGTCATAGGAAAATCTGTTTAAAAAGAAGGGATATATGACCTGAACTGAAGACAAAATTTGTTATTGCCTTATAAATCATAATAAAAAACAACAAATAGTTATAAACCAGGTTTCCAGAAATAGAAATAACACATGAAATGGGACCTTGAAGTATGATGTAGAGATGCCACCAATTAGATATGGTGTTTCATTTTTGAAGAGTTGTATTCCAATTGGTGATGGAGGCTTATTATGGTCTACGGAGGGAGATACCCATGCAGGGCGTATGCGCATATATGACTTCGCCACATCCACTGGTGATCCTCCATCTTCAAAAGCCTGCAAACCAACCAGGCATGTAGGAAAAAAAACCACACAATCAACATGAAATCATATTGCCATGGTATTAAATATAACAAAGGAGATGGGGAAGGAGACAGCATGTGTAGGCATCATTATATGTTCATCATAAGCCCAGACAGAAAGAAAATATCACTAACTTGAGGCAATTTAACTGAAGTCAAACTATGACTTCCATAACCTAAATCTGAATTTGAATCTAATCCCAACTTCTTTTCCTGCAGCCATTTCTTTGCCTCCATAACAGCAGCACTATAGAGATCAGGTGAATCTGTTTATGAGAAATAAAAAAATAAAAAAAACCAAGGTCATCTAACAGAAATGGGTTAAGTTAGAGTTTTGTATGTAGAGAATACCACTCCCAAGAGTACTATTGGGCATATCCCTTGGCCTCTTATCCCCATCATCCTCGGCAGGATAATCTACCCTTCTTGATCTTATTATACTTATCAACCTATCACCTTCTTCCCTGATCAAATAATAAGCTCTTTCAGAATCTTAGTCCAAACAACTAAAGGAAGGTCTATGAATCCATAAAATTCTACAGAAAGTGAACCACATAAGAAATGCACAGTTGTACTCCTATCGCTCATAGACTACACATTGCTCAAGATCAAGATAACAGGCAGCTATTCTGCACAATTAATACAGGTTGTTGAGATACATTGCAGAGTTCACTAAAGAACCTGTGCAAAACCAGAATATTTATTATTTCCATATATTAGGGATATTGCCAAATCCCTGATTTATAGGAATCAATCACAATCAATTAGGATCAGTTACTTTTCTTCTTAATTAGGATTGATTTGGTTTCCTTATTTTACGCACATGTAATATGTATATATGTTGTAACCTATCATTGTTTGAATAGTTCCAATACACAGAACCCTGTTACAATTTGAACAGAAGCAAATATTGCCATCACAGGCTGATGACAATACTTCTAAGCAATGTTGTCAAACTCGAGTTTCTACGTAGAAACGGATGACAATACTTCTAAGCAATGTTGTCAAACTCGAGTTTCTACGTAGAAACGGAAATGGGTGGTAGAGACGTAAAACGTAGAAACGACACGAAACGTAAAGTTTTACTTTCTACTACTTAAGGTCACGATACAAAATTATATATATATGCATGTAAAAAAAATATCACATAATGAATATGTGTGTTGAGCCACTTATCTATCTAAAAAGGAAACTTTTTTTTGATGACCAAGTATCAAAATTATAAACAGTGATAACTAACAAGTAACAAGTAATGGATAACCAATCTGCTCTAACTGCTTTATACACTTTGCAGATTTTGGATAATCACTAGTCAGGATATAATTGCACTTCTTTCAGTGCACACAATGATCCAAAAATACAAAACGATTCTCATAGCATAACTTATAATAGAATTGCAGCTTTATAAGACATAAAGATATTGTGCATATGATTTGGGGAAAACGAAAAAATTGGGTTTTTTTTTAATTTCTTATTTTGTAAATCTTTTTCTTAAAAAAAAAAATTGTTTTAAGTAAAAACGGTCAAAATGGTAAAATCGTAAGTTTTTACCGTTTTTACACGGCGTTTTTACCAGATTTTACCAAGGACAATTTTTACTTGCGTTTTAACACGCATTACTCTAGGAAAAACGTAAAAACGTAAGTTTTTACGTTTTTAAACTAGTTTTTGACAACAAGCTTCTAAGAGTAAAAAAATATATAAGTAATGCATACCAATGTCAGGCCAGAATTATAAATACAAAACCAATGACATGAAGAGTGCTTACCTATTGGCATACTATTAATTGAATCGGTGCTTTTTAGAATTCAATCTCACTGGTGTAGCATCTTTGTTTTGCCTAAAAAAGTGGTGAGAAATCTAGAGTTAAACTCATATTTGTGTGGAGGTAACCATTCTAGTATATTCTTAGCCAAAGTCACATGCTTCGATTGTTGTAAAAAGAAAATGGCAGGTGGCCTTGGTTTGAAGAATATTGGAGAGTGAGTACACTAAAGCCTGAGTGTTGAAAAATATATGGTCTTTACTTACATGATCTGTGTTGAAATTATCGGGCTTAGGTATAGAGGGAGGAAAATGAATACTAAAAAAATTATTTTTTGGTAGGCATACAAAAATTATTGTGATCTCTTAGGGTTACTAAAAATATTAAATTTATATTGATATTTTTGTGAAGGATGTGATACTAAATACAAACCATTAAACCCTATTTATATTAATGCTAGACTCCTAATCCTAATTACATAAAGAAACAAGTCATGAAATGTAATACAACTTGGAAACCACTCCTACGAGATCATCTGAGATACTCTATTTATTCTAAGACACAATAATGATTTTATGAGATATTTTCTCAATAATCTAATACTTCCCCCTTAAGCTAAAGCTTACTAAGCTTTAAACTTATTGTAATTAAACTAAAAATATAACACAATGGCAGGCAATAACATTTGGGACGGGAGACAAAAACGAGGCAAGAGTGTCTAGGACTGGAGACAAGGGTGGACTCAATCTGGGACTGGAGACGAGATCAGACTGCGTTTGGAACAAAGACAAGGTTGGTTAGTGCAAAAGGAAGACATAGCAAACACCTTGCAACTTTCTCTCCCCTAATGCTATGCTAGCATTGAAAAAGAGCCATACAGTATCCAAAACAATGACAGATCAGCTATAACCACCACATATAATGCCAAGAAACAGCCTAAAAATGTCAAACCTGACGAAGTGGGAGAGAACGCATCATATCTCATCAGTAAAAACCAAGAAACGGCAGCTGAGGGAGCCAAAAAGTCACAGGAAGGTGGTAAACAAAGATGATGGGCACTGCACCTAACTGAAGATGTTGTCAGGTGAGGCAAATGGAAGTGGAGCTGGAACAAAAAGGGACAGGCATGTGCACAAGAAAGGCTGACTGAACAAATTCCATTGATTGATTGGAGGAGGTGAGGTCAGACCTAGAAAAAGGAGAAGGAAACGATGTAGGCAATGATGGCCAAAAAATGTCACCAGATGCGCCCTCACGAACCAGTAGAAGTTGACAGACTCTGGGAGCTTGAGGCAGCGAATGGAGGCTTTAATGATGGCATGATTTCAGGCGTTGGCCAGTCTGGACATGCCAGAGCTGATGATGATGGCAAAGAGGCGAAAGGTGCCTGATGAGAGAGAAGACACGTTTATGGGTGTTATGAAGAGATAGTGTGCTGTAAGGAGATAACAGTGAGAGATGGATAATCAAATGGATAGAAACAATCATGAAAATAAAGTGGAACTCCAGATTTCAGGAAACTCAACAGCAATACAGCGACAGGACAGGTGTGGAGGAGTGTCCCACTCCAATGGCTTCTCCTTCTATGGACCTGAGTCTATTGATGACCTTCCTATTGCTCTCAAGGCTTAGGACCAGTGGCTGTTTGGTAGCTGAACTTCCCTTCTTCTTTCAGCACCGTAAGGACAAGTTGGGACCGTTCAGATAATTTTTTCCATTTAGCCTGTATACAAAATGAATATTCACTAGACTGTTGGGGTCGGGTGTCCCCTGTGGACAGGATTGTGCTTGATATATCTTCTTCAGTTGACATCCTGATTGGTAGATCATGCACTTTCTGCGTCAATGAAGGCCTGAGAGCTCCAGACTTATAGACTCAACAGAGACAACTTGCAGAAGTGGAGGGATGGCAATGAAGGCCAACCAGATGAAGGGAGAAGAGGCTCAAACAGCGGTAACGAAAACAGAGGCAGTCCCAGATCCGAACTGCTCTGATACCATCTCAGAATTTGCAGAATGTATTTTTATTATTGATGATAATACTGATATATACATAGGCTGGATTTATACACAGTCAGTCTTGACAAAAAAGAAGAAGGAAAAATGTCAGAATCCCTGTATTTGGGGATTCCCTATAAGATATAATTAGTCAGCTGAAGATTTCTTCAAGAAATTCATACACAAGAATCCACACTTTCAAGTGGCCTAAAACCAAGATGAACACGTCTAGCTCTTCTTCTTTTTTCTTTTTTATATTAATAACAGGTTAGTATAAATGAAATTACATTGTTAAGAAAAGAGGCAGATCCAAACAAGAAGCAAACTTTCAACATATTAGTATGTGCAAAAAGAAAGGTGTAGAAATCAACATCAATATCACCTTTATCCCAAATTAGTTGGGATCAGCAGTCCTTGAACCCAAATAAAAAGAAAAAAAGATTAAGGGAAAATAAAATTAAATAAATACATATAGAGAAAATAATTATAGGAGGATAAAGGACTAAAAAAGAACTGTATGAAGAAATAACACGCAAAAAATTCCACATATTAAGCATGTTACCTTGAGAATGTTTCCTGCATAAGTAGCTGCTCAATGACATGTTTGTTTGCGCCACTCCCAATCAATGGTTGGAGCCCCTATTCAGAGAAATTGATCACTTCCGATGTCGCACTCTTACATCACAAAAAAATCAATAACTCATGTACAACAATCTCATAAGAAAGCAGGGGATTCATGCAGACACGGTTTCAGATGCATCAACCAATTCATTTTAGGGGGTTTTCGTTTCAATGAGTGAAGTCAGCTAGAACAACCAAAGGCCCATAGATTAAAAAAAAAAAAAAAAAAAAGTAGAGTCGATTACCTTCTTCACCGCATTATCACCTTCAAAAGGGATATCACTGTTATCTTTGACAGTAGCAATTTCCTCTGCAAAATTGGACAGCAGACACGTATTTTAAGAGGGAGTAGAATGGCCAAAAGCCAAAAGGAATTTTGTTACAACGGACTCAGGTTCATGGTCAACCCGATACGTGACAACAAGTAGATAATTCAAAACTATAAATAAAACTACACTACAAAAATTAGCTTAATGATATCTTATTAGCAATTTAGCATGCATAGGGTTGAGTCTATATTACCACAACTCAACCAAGGAATAGCTATATTATTTTATGAATTTTTGAACAAAACCATCAAAAGCATGGCTACAACTACAATAATACTTAGGGTGTGTTTGGTAAGTTTTTGTTGAAGATACCTAGAAAAATGGAAGTGGTATTTTTATATGTCAATATTTGGTACCAGGTTTTAAAAAATTTTGCTAGGAAAGTTATTTGCCCATCATTTGCTTTGTGTGTAAAAAACATTGTTGAATAAAATCACCTACTAAGATGGTATTTGCCAATAGCTGCGGAAATCCAAAAAGGACCGCAAGCAGAGATCAAAATGACCTTGATGTTGGGGAAACTATTCAGCAAACTAAAACCATATTTTCTCATTTTATTTTACTCAAGAGTTGTTGTGGTAATTTAACCATATTTTCGGACCGATATTTTACTTTCAACCAAACATAGACTTAGAAAAATAAAATCAATTTTCTCAGTAATATTTTGGCCTACCAAATAACTTTTTTTAAACTTTCCTACCAAATTCATTTTTCCACCGTATTCTTAGTAATTATATTTCCCTAGTAAAAAAAATTTTCATCCACCAAACGTCTCCTAATTAATGGATTTTGTTGACGTGGCCCTTAACTCAATAAAAACAGAAATTATTCTTATTCATTAAATCATCTTAATTACTTTTAAAAGAAAATAATAAATGCTTTTTAAAATATATAATCCATTCGCTTATTTTGCTCTTTTCTAAATCTGATTAACCATTCATTACCATTGGTAATTTACCAAAAACAAATTTAGATATATATAGAGGAAGTTATACTTACTTTGTATACAAACTATTTTCATTTACCGCCACGTGTTCACTTTGATTTTCGTCAATGTAACAATTATAATTTATTGAATCACATTTATTAATTAATTATTTGAAACTACCATAATTCTCAGACACCGACACTTATTAAGTACACCTAAACTATTTCTAACCACTCCACAAAATCAAAATAAAAAAAAATCCCAATTGATAACTTCATCAGCATAACAAAAACGAAAACGACCAAAACCATACTATTCCAATTACATCAACACTCAAATAGAACTGCATAATATGCACGTACCATCACCGGAATCGCTAGCTGAAGAAGACGTTGGCGAAGATTCGAGATCCAAAACAGAGGAGACGAGCTTTCCGGCAACGAAACGTGTGGGCGAGAGAACGAAACGCGAAAGCCAATTAGGGCTCCGAGGAGGCCGGTCGTAGGGGGTCTTGCCGGCGGTGGCGGCGTTCCGGCGGGATCGGAGTATCTTGCCGCCGGATCGAGATCCGGAAATGGAAGTCATGGCTCAGTGCGTGTGGTTGTAGGAGCATGCACGGGAATTGAAGATTGGTTGCAGAGGCTGGTTTGTGGTGAGGTTCTGCTTCGTCTCTCTCTCTCTCACAACAGAGTCTCTGTGAAGAGTGAGAGAGAGGAACAGAGTGTGTCACTGCATCTTGTACTGAGAATGTTGGGTTTATTGCATGAATATGAGCACCACTGTGAGTTGATGTGACTTTGGCACTAACTCGATGCAGTAATTATTTGATGATATAAATTTAAATTTAAAGGAATAATTTAAAGTATTTATAATTTTAATTATTATAATTTAACACTGATCTACTAATTTCATGACGAAATTAGTTATGAAAAAATTTAACGAAGAAAAATTATGTCCCTAAATACAAATGTATATTTTTAATATTATTATTTAATCTGTCTCTAAATCTGTGACTGTATTATTACTTAGAGGCATTTTCCCATTATTAAAATTCTTCGCTAATATACAAATTTGTAGTTTTGTATGAAGATCTCATCGCAAGCATTATTTAAGGTGTGCATGACGAAATTTATAGAATTTTTTTTTTTTTAGTTTTGTTTCCTGGAACAAAAATGAATAGAAATGGTATTTGACAAAATTAGTTTATCTTTTCTTTTGTTCCCGATTAATTTATGTGCTAAAAAACAGTCAAAAAATAAAAAAAAATCCTTTTTTATTATCACACACAAAATGAGAAATATTTGTCTCTCTCAATTACTCTCTATCATTACCATCATCACCATCACTGCCACCATTCCGACACCACCATAGCCATCATTGTTGCCGCAGTCATTGTACCATCACCATTACCACCATCATCATTGTTGCCGCAGTCATTGTACTATCGCCGCAGCTACTGTCCTCACCATCATCACTACGTCACCTACCACCACCACATCATATGAAAAGAAAAGTGATGATCCGAAAAAAATTTACGCTTAATAGGAATGATTTTTTATTCTATTATTTGTTGTGTTATCAAACATAATTCTCATTCTTAGAATAAAAATAAAATATATTATCAAACATTTTTTTTCAGAAACTGTTCCAAAAATAAAAAAGAAATATTTTTTTGTAAGAATAATAATTAGTTTTCAAAATCATGAAACTATATTAGAATAAAAAGAACAGGTTAGGCGTTGTGTCCTTGGTTAAAATTTGTATTGTGATATTTATGTATTTGCTGCGACTAAAAAATAAAGAGTAAATATCATTTTTCGTCCCTGGCAATTTTCACGAGGCACATTTTGACCCCGAACAATAAAAAGTGCTCATTTTAGTTCCTAATATTTGAAAAAAAGGGGCCATGTTTGGTCCCAACTAACGGAGCACACGTGGATCGTTACTTTGCTGAGTCACCGTTAAGTATGCCAGCGTGGAAGTAATACGACGTCGTTTTGAACATGCCTTGTGTCTTCTTGGAGTTACCCTAGCATCGAAGGCCCTATTTGGTCCCTGACAAATTTATCGAGGCCCTATTTGGTCCTTAACATCACAAACCTTTTTTTATCTGTTTTATTTATTTAATTAATGTCATTTTTCCATTGCTCATAATATGGAAATGTAGGATCCCTAAAAGGTTCTTTACTAGCTAGGTGGTGCAGCATTTATCCTCAATCCAAGGACTCTGCTTGGGTCTCCCAACATTCCTGAGGGCCTTCCAAACAACACTGTTACACATGAACCCAGCACCAAAAGCTATCTGACAAACCCTATCACCCCTCTTGATCCTTGAGTTAAGCTCAAGGTATGTCAGTTCATACCAGATGCTGCTGCTAGATGTGTTGCCAAATCGTTCCAATGTCTTCCTTGATGCTTCCATGTACTCCTCTGTGAGCTCCAAATTCTTCTGAATCTCATCCAACACTTTCTTACTTGTTTCCAGAATGCATACATGCTCAAAAGCCAGCTTGTAATCCGAGATGTATGGCTTTGTTTTCTTTTTATTGAATAGCAAATTGGTGAAGAAGTGAAGCTGTTCTGAAACTAGTAGGACTAGTGGACCTAATGTGGTAATATTGGCCTTTAATGCATGGCCTCCAACCTGACATCTTTGCATACAGAAAGTCCCTTCCTCCCTTCACTATCTTCCCTTTGATGTATGCTTTTGTAGCTTCTATTGTCCATTCCTTTATGAGTTCGGACAAGCTGCAACATGCATTGACCATATCTCAAAAGCAATAAGATAGAGATAATAACATTGTTATCATTGCAAGTTATACAAGAGTAAAGATGTTATGAAGAGGTACCTGTTTGAGTTCAGACTTGGCTCGCCATCTATTTAAGCGGAAATTTGAGAGCATATTTGCTGCAGCACCCATTCTAAAGAAGCAATTGGGAAGCAGCAAGTCAATGTCATTGCCACTGTATCATGAATGGCTCACAGCTTCTGTGCTCACTACAAGTGCATAAGTGCTTGGATATGCATCCAAGAGGTCTTTAGCTAGATCAATGGTTGTGATTCCAGCAGCACAACCTATCCCACCAAGGTTAAAGCTATGTATGTCATGCCTAAGCTTGAAATGGTTTATTATCATTGATGAGAGTGATGGGGTGGTGTTTAATATTCCACAGTTTACTACCAAGATTCTTATATCCTTTAGTTTTACTTTTGTGACAGCAAGAAGGTCCTTAATTGCCCCAAACATCACCATGGATACCTCTTGTCGACCATCTTTCAGAGAGGTTCTGTAACCAAGGCGAAAATCTCCTTTTGGCATGTAGGTCTCATCACCTATGCCAGATTTCTTAAGAACTCGTTCCTGAAACTCAACGGCAGTATCATTGAAATTCCTTGATTTTTTAGCCAACTCAATGAACTCTGCCTTAGAGATCTGCATAAATAGTCCCATTCAATGCATGCAAAAAATTGAATATATATACATAAATAGGCTTAATTAAATAAATATGCAAAAACAGAGTCTTTGAATTGAGGATGAGTGCTGCACCACCTAGCTAGCAAAGAACCTTTTAGGGATCCTACATTTCCATATTATGAGCAATGGAAAAATGACATTAATTAAATAAATAAAACAGATAGAGAAAGGTTTGTGGTGTTAAGGACCAAATAGGGCTTCGATAAATTTGTCAGGGACCAAATAGAGCCTTCGATGCTAGGGTAACTCCAATAAGACATAAGACATGTTCAAAACGACGTCGTATTACTTTCACGCTGGCATACTTAACGGTGACACAGCAAAGTAACGGTCCACGTGTGCTCTGTTAGTTGGGCTATCAGATGCCAACTAACAAAATGACAAATGTGGCCCTTTTTTTCAAATATTAGGGACTGAAATGAGCTTTTTTTATTGTTCGGGACCAAAATGTGCCTTGTGAAAATTGTCAGGGACGAAAATAAGTATTTACTCAAAAATAAAATAGGTTAATATATTTAGTAAAATAAAATAGGTTTAAATCTTAAAAAAATTAAAAAATAAACCATAAGGTTTCTTTTATAAGATTTAATTTATAAGTCTTTATATATCGGTTTATATTATATTTTATTTAAAAATTAAATAAAAATATTATTTAAATAATTTTAAATAGTATTATTTAATTTTTTTTCTAATTCTTATAAATATAATAGATTTAAAAATATTAAACCAAAATTAGATTCAAAATATTTTATATAAATTTAATTTATTTAAACCAAAATCTAGCTAAGGAAACTTCATTTGCATCCCTAATAACATGAAAAATATATTCCATTTTTAATTCTATAAGCTAGCTAGGCATTGCATTTGAGAACACAGGGTTGTTTTTATTTTTTATTTTTATTTTTTATATCCATATTCATAGAGATAAAATTCATGTCAGAATTCATTTTTAATTTTGACTTGTAATGGTAATAAACATGGGACATTGACCTTTTGATGCAATTTTTTAAAAGCTAATACTAATTTAATACAGGAGCCTCACATCCTATTCATGCCCGCACGCCCCATCTAAGGTTGTCACGTGTTGCAAATTGATAAAATTAGAAAGAGAGAAAAAATTATTTAGATAACAGTTGGATACACCATTGTGCTGTTCTACACAAGGGTGTTCAAAATGTTCAAAAGAACCAAATGGATTCATAATCAAATTACTCTATATTTTAAAAATTGGTTATTTTTAAAAACCGATTTCATATGAAACTGCATTTTATTTTATAAACTGGTTATTTACCAAACCATAAAAATAATTGGTTATCTATAGTTATACATAACCAAACTGTTTTACAATTAAAGAACAAATAAGTATTATCTTTTATCATGCCTACTATATTAGTTGATTGACTTAAACTTTCAAACAATAAACTAGCAAAAAAAGTTAAGCAGAACAAGTAGAAAATATTTATTTAAAAAAAAATTACACATAAATTGAAAGGTCACATCCTAATAAAAGCACTTTTTATCTAACGTAACAACTTTTTTCCCAAAAATAAAAATAAAATAACCACATACAGGCCTCCTAGCAAACTCATAACTTAACAAGACGAAGGCTTTGAAATGACAAAGATGAAGTTAAAAAATCATAACAAAAAGGGCAACGAAATTAATCAATTGTCTTAACGTCTTTGAGAGAGTGCCGTTAAAAGGACAACTCACAATGAATTTACTTATTTGTTATTTAATTATAAAGGAGTTTGGTTATGGATAACCAATTATTTTTATGGTTTGGTAAATAACCCGTTTATAAAAATAAAATACAGTTTCATATGAAATCAATTTTTAAAAATAACCGGTTTTTAAAATGTAAAGCACTTGGTTATGGATTGGTTTAGTTCTTTTGGACATTTTGAACACCCTTTGCCCATACCTTCCTCTATTAGTTCAAATGAAACTCTTAGTAACATAAATCTTGACAGAACGAAGAACAAATTTTTTTTTTAATTTTAAAATAATTCAACTATTCTTCTACTAATCACTCTCAAAACAACGTGAAACAGTTTCTATAAGAATCATTTCGTCCTGAGAGTTCCAAAACAATGAAGATTCTTGCAAGAATTAGTTAGTCAACTACCTATAACCGGGAGAAACAAACGACTACTTATAAAAATAGCACAATCCATCAAAAATCGATTTTGAATTTGTTAAAAAACCAATTTTGATCTTTATAACCGGTTTTGATTTAAAACCGATTTTGAATTAAAATCGATTTTGAATTAAAACCGGTTTTAAATCAAAACTTGTTATAAACCATAAACCGGTTTAGAAATTTAAAAACCGGTTTTAAAAGAAGAAAACCGGTTAGGTTTGAAAACCAAACTGTTTAAAACCAGTTTGGTTCGGTTCGGTTTTTGTTAAAATCGGTTATGAACCGCTTCATGCACACCCCTAACTCTACATATGTAATTTTTGCTCTATTTTTTTCCCCTTAGCCCCCTTTATGTACAAAAGAAAAATTAATAAAAATTAGTCACGATTTAAATTGGAATTAATTTTACAATATTAATCCTGCAATTTCTATGCCAGAATAATACAAAATTTGTTATAATTTAGACATGGTTATTTTTTCTTATATGTATGAGAAGACATGTGACTATTCCGCATGAGATATGTGAAAATGGTTTGCATTAGAGTAGTATTATATTTGAAAATAATACTATTTGCAAAATATTTCTTCCATGGTTGTTAAGATCACGTGGAAGATCGTAGTATCGCACGATCCTTCGAACGAGCTGAATCGCATGTAGGATCGCTTTCTTCTCAGGTCTGCTGGGATCGACGGGCAAACACGTAGAATCGGTAAGATCGAACGATTTAACGGTTCCGGCGATTCAAGGGAAGAAACGCAAAGAGTGAGAGGAAAAATACAGTAGACATCCACCAACAACAGAGAACCCAGACCCACTCGGCCTTTGACCCATTTCACTCAACCCTTTACCTTCGATTGAGTTGCTCTTCGGGATTACAACCTTTCTCCTTCGAACCCCATCGAGTTCATGAAAGGAGGCTGGTTTAGTAGGTGCTTCAAACCCATTTTCCTCGTCAGACCTTCAAAGCAAGCCGCTGTTGGAGCTTGCAGAAATCCCTGTTCGTCGTCGGTACAGCTCAACCCTTGCCACCGAGCAAGGAGAAAGACTTGTTCATTTTTTGAAATCTCGGCCTAGTCCCGTCGCGGCTTACTCTGCGTGCATTTGGCAAGAGAAGGAAGACAAATTTTTTTCAGAGAGAGAGAGGAAGAGAAGAGTAATCTTTTTTTTTTTTTTAATCTTACTTTCTTGGAAGTTGGAAGGAAGCTTTACCTTTATCCCTGTTTTAATCTTATCTCTGCATTTTTTTATTTTATATCCATTTTTTTATTTTACTGTCCGAAATTTATAAATTTATCCGAAGTCACTTTCTTATTTTTCTTTTATTTAAATTAGCAAAATAATTTTATTATACAATTAATAAAAATTAATTGTAAAATTTATAATTTAAATTTTTTAATTCAATTTAATAGTTACATGAACAGTCACGATCTTACGATATGTGTCGATCTTACGTTTTACGATTTTTTTATCCTCTTCCGATCTTAGTTAACATCTCGATCTTAACAACATTGATTTCTTCTTCTTTTTTATTTTTTCTTTCACCATAATCTCCTATCTTTCTATCCAAATATTTACTTCAACAATCTTATTTATTCAAATAAAATTAGAAAGAAAAGCTACCGTGAAGGCATAAGAAAATTATAATATATTTTTTAAAATCCTATATAATCAAAATTTTAAGAAAATGTTAAAAAAATTAATCTCATAAATTAAGCAAATTCGCTTATTTCTGAAAAAAAAAGAAAAGAATTGAAGGCTTATTAGGCCCAAATAAATTTGAGGGTGAATTTCCATATCGTTTGAGGAAAACAAAAAGAAAAGGCCCAAAAGAAGAATGTGAAGCGGATCGAAGAACATGAGAACCGGTCCGAGTGACCCAAACAAACCATTGCGTAAGCGCTGACAGCAAAACCTTGTTCACCGTTTCGCCGACACTGAACGACTCGTCGTCGTAGGTTCTTTTTTTTTTCAGTTTTGAGGTTCCTTTTTTATTTTCTCTCTCTCAAATCAATAAACCCAACCCTTCACTACTCCAACAAAATCAAACTTGAAACAAAAAAATAATAATCAACCATGCCGGGATTAACGTGCAACGCTTGCAACACAGAGTTCAAGGATGATTCAGAGCAAAAACTCCATTACAAGTCCGAGTGGCATCGCTACAATCTCAAGCGCAAGGTTCTTCTTGTTTTTTTTTTATCAATTTTCATGATCGATTCATTTGTTCCATTTACGTTGTCAATCAATTTACTTTTGATGTTCTGCAATATTAGGATTAAGGTTTTAATATGGGTTTGTCTTATTTAGTGCTGATCTTAAGTGTTTACGGTTTTTTTTTTTTTTTTTTTGGGTTAAACCCTAATTTTCTTGTCACTTTTTTTTGTCATGGTTCAATCCAGGAAAATTAAAAATTTGAGACTATGCATGTGTTATGATAAATTTATGTTATTTGAGTTTTATGCCCATATAGTTAATATGAGTGTATTTGTAGTCCCCTCAATTTAAATCATAAAGTTTTTATTTTTATTTTCCTTAAGCATGCCCCGCTCAAAGAATGAAAGTTTTCATGGCTAGCTTTGCCATTTTGGCTTGCTTTTCTCTGATATTCACTTACTTAAGTGCCTTACCATTCCTTAATTAAAAATTGTTATAGATTGATTGTGTCAAAATATTGAACGTGTTCCCAGTTAATGATGGCTTAACGGGTAGAATCAAACAACTTCAAAGCAAATTTGTTAAGAACATTGTCACCAAGTAATTGTTGACAATATAGTATTTAGGGAGGTTCTACATTGTTGGGAAGTATTGTCATCAGAGGAGGAATAAGCTTGTTAATGATTAGCTTTGATAGCATGCTCTTAAATCTTAATTTTTTTTAATTTTTTTGAGGGAGGGGGAGGATTTGGTAACTATCTTGTTTGAAAAACTTATTTATGTTCTATAAAGTATTAAAGTAATGTCACTTTTTTTTTTATTAAAAAATAGGTGGCTGGAGTTCCTGGGGTGACCGAAGCACTGTTTCTGGCTAGACAATCTGCACTTGTTCAAGAGAAAGATAAATCGAGTGAAACCCCCATGCTCTATAGCTGTGGCCTTTGTGGAAAGGGGTACAAAAGTTCTAAGGCTCATGCTGAGCATCTTAAATCACGCGGTCATATGATGCGAGCTTCTGAAGGAACTAGTCTTTCAGATGAGAAGGCAATAATTAAGCCACTTCCACAACGTGTTGTGAATAGGCCTCCTCCTAAAAGAGAGGTAGCTAGCTCTGAAAATGAAGAAAGTGAAGATGAATGGGAGGAGGTTGATCCTGAAGATGATTTGGTTAATGATGCTGCAAAGTCCTTGATTGATTTGAAGATGAATGAGCATACCGACAATGGTGATATGGATGAAGATGCTGATGATGATTTTGAGGAGTTAGATCCATCGTGTTGCTTTATGTGTGATCAAGAGCACAATACAATAGAAAGTTGCATGGTTCACATGCACAAGCACCATGGATTCTTCATTCCAGATGTTGAGTATTTGAAGGATCCAAAAGGCCTCCTCACTTATCTTGGCCTTAAGGTATAATGATGTGTCCCCGAAAAATTAAAAGAAAATTAAAAACGGTTTGGTCCCATTGTCACCAACATTTTCCCTTTTTTCTAGGTCAAAAGGGACTGCATGTGTCTGTACTGCAATGATCGATGTTATCCTTTCAGCAGCTTGGAAGCAGTCAGGAAACATATGGCCGCAAAAGGTCACTGTAAAGTGCATTTCGGTGATGGTGATGATGATGAGGAAGTAGAGTTAGAAGAATTCTACGACTATAGCAGCAGGTTAGTTTAGTTCCTATTGTTTTGGTTTGTACTTCTCTTTCTTTATGAACTATTCCTATAATTGGTAATGCATATTGATACATCCAATCTCAAGTGTTCTTAATTTTTGTTCAGTTATGTGGATGAGCAAGGCAAGCAGCTGGTTGCATCCAGTGATGTGGCTAACAATGTAGAACTCAGTAGTGGTGGGTCTGAGCTCATAATCACTAGGAAATCTGGTGATGGTACATCAACCAGAACACTTGGCTCCCGTGAATTTTTGCGTTATTATCGTCAGAAGCCTCGGCCATCACCAGCAAATAATATGGCAATCACTGCTGCATTGGCTTCAAGGTTTGCCTTTTAACCTTATGCTCTATTTTCTTTATAATGCTGAGGGGGATATTTTGGTGTATCAGACTAGCAAAATCACAAAGTCAAATGGTGATAGGGATCATTTTTTCATTATTTTCAGGTACAGGAGCATGGGCTTGGCGACTGTCCAATCAAGGCAGCAAATTGTGAGGATGAAAATCTTGAAGGAAATGAATAGGTCAGGTGTGGAGAATATGCGTAGCAAGATAGGGATGAAGAGTAATGTCATCCGGAACCTGCCAAACAATGTCCCATATTAGTCCTCTTCCTTTCTTCCTGTTGCTACCTGTTTGAAAATCTTAAGTGGTGCTGTGTAATAGTTATTAGCTATTAAGTTTCCTTTTTGAAGTAATTTTAGATTTCTTGATGTCATGGAGAGGCATACACAAAGCATCCGAAGGTACCATTCGGTGTTGAATGGAATGACATGATATTTTCCCGTTTAGAGTTGTTGGACAGTTTACTTATTCCTTTGTTATTGGTGGTATATTCACCATGAGATGATAAAGATTTTTTTGGGTTTATGCAATTTTGAAGAGAAAAAGGAATTACAATATAATTTCACAGGATAACGTATGGAAGTTATTGATGATATAGATGTGAAAATGATGGGACTAATGGAGTGGAAATTTTAATATTAATCCAGAAGGAATACATTTTTGTACGTTTGTCTGTTTGGATTTATTTTTTTTTAAACTAGAAGTTACTTATAAATAGAAGATAAGTCAAATAGATTTTGAGAAAAACTCTTATAATCAAAAACTATTTTTTATAATGAAAAAAAAAAGTTAAAAGTCAAAAGTTTCTAGAAGGAGTTTTTTTTAAGCACTTATCACTAATTATTGAATTGTGTATTTTTTTTTTAAAAACAAAGAGTTATAGAAATAAAGAGAGAATTTTTTTTTGAAATATGTACTTTTAAGCTAAATTTTTTATGTAATTATTAAATAATTTAGTTTTTTTTAATTTTTTTTTTAACTGTAATTTATAAGTAGTTTCTAATTAAAAAAGAAGAAGAACATGACCCTTGTTCTGCTTTGAGAATAATTTGAATCGTGTTTCATTTTCATAAACCATATGGATTTGGTCAAATGGGACAAAAGTAAATGTTAAGATTTCAAATATTAGATGGAAATGTTACCTTACCATAAACTTTCTTTGTGGTTCTGACCAGCTAAAGGGGTTTTTATATTTCCTCTTCTAATAAAACTTAATGAATACGATAAAATTTCCTGGTCGTGGAAAGTAGCAGAAAAAATCAGTATGAGTATCTCTCCATGAATATTCCGATTTCCTAGCAATAGTGGATTGCATGTCCTTTTCACGTATCATAATGGATTATAATGATGTCCTGTCATAAAAATATCTTTGTTTCTTTTTGCATGAACGGAAACGCCATGATCACTGTCCCACTTTCTATGAATTTCAATGGTTTTATTGGTTAACACATGTTTTAATTTTTTTTTATTCCAAATATTCATTTACCTAAGCTTAAGAATGAATGCTGCAAATTTTCTTCTAGATTCCCCATATACAAAAATATATGTCGATAATGTTGTTATTTAGGTGCTTTTCTTTCATCTATCCTTGATCCGTGAATCTCAGATACACAAACAATTTTAACAAAAAATAAAAATAAAATGAAACTGTTCTATCCTCGCTTTCATACTTTGAAAATAAATGAAGTTCAGTTATGGAATGTAAAAGTCAAATTACAACCCAAATGAAAAGTAGATTCTTATTTTCACATCAACTTGTGATAAATTATGAGTGACAATAAATTCACTTATATCAAATTATATATATGATAATAAATTATTCTCACTACACAGAGCACAATACTAGAAACGGAAAAAAGATTTAGACCGTCAAGCACAAATCTTTAAATTGATTGTTATATTAATAGTATTAGTTACTATACAGCAGTATAAATATTATAAAATAAAATATAATTAAAACTTTAAGTATAAAAATTACAAGTAGGGGTGTTAACGGGCCGAGCCGAACTTTGATCTTAAAAGGTTAAGCATGTGTTTAAATGTGTCAGCTTGACTAAGTCTGTTATCTATTATGAATATAATTATTAACCAGTGGAATGACTAATTTACAAAAAATAAAAATCTGATTTAGCCTGTTAGCTTGTTAAAAAAAATAAGATAATAAAAATTTATCCAAACCGAATATACAATCAACAGCACTAGTAATTCCACAAATATAGAACAAAATCAGTCAAATAGTCTGTTTAACCAATAAAATGAATAAAATGGATCGAGGAGAGAGAGGACTATTACAAGTAGTATAAAAAATATAAAATATAAATAAAAATTAATATACTAGGCCAGCTTGAGAGGATCTAAAGCCGAGCTTTTAAATTGGAGCCTGAGGCCTTTTTATTAAACGAGCTTTTATATAAGTCCAAGCCTGGTTCCAACAACCAATTTTAGACATGTAATCTCAAGCCTTTACGAGCCGAGCCAAAGGCCTCCTAATTACGAGCATATTAGGATCTCCCATGCTGATATAAATATTATATTATTCAGTGGCATGGTAACACGCCTTTCCTTAAAGTTATTCTAACATATCACAATCAATTAGGTATATGTACAAGGAAAATAATATCAAAAAAAATCATTATTCCATAATTAAGCAGCAGAATGACTATGATTACCCATGAGGAAATCAACATGCTTCCAATGGCTAGCATACTTTCTAGTTTCTACACTTAAAAATTCAGAAATCAAGAGTTATTTTAAAGCTAAAGCATAAAAGAAACTGAGTATGTAACCACATGGAACTGTCAAATTTATAAAGTGTCCCAATCAAGACATCTCGTTGCAAATGCAACAGATGATGTAAATGTAATCTTTGCATGGTATAACACAATCTGTCACACTGCTTTCCATGTCTTTTGCCTCTGATTCTGCTTTCCTTCAATTCTTATACTACTACCTGAAAACTTACAGAAAATTCATAAGTAATTTAAAGGTAATAATGTGCATACTTTCAAGTTAGAAGGAAATCTACAATCATCATTCAGTTTGTAGTTATCAGGACCTTTGTACAATAACAGAATGGATTTTCTTTGGCAGCTAGCACATTCCTAATTGTCATAAAAGCGGGATCGGCGTCTCTGTGATCTGTGAATAATATTCATAATATTGAAGTACTAAACTGTAACTTAGGTCAAACAAATCATTCTAATTCAAAGTTCAAACACCAAATTACACACTTATATTCAAATACACTGAATCACTCCTGAAATTGATAGCCGATCACATAATTGAATCATTGGAAAATGGTAACGTAAAATCACTTAGATGAAATCTCATCATTAATGGTCATAGAAAGTAACCTTTAAGACCACAACGGAAAAAATAAAAATAAGAGATGAGTAAAAGGAGCATATCATATTCTTAAAATACAATAGCAAGTAGATAACTATTGAATAATAACTTAAAAAAGCTGAATAGCATGGAATTAATAACTATAACTACTTCTCAAGTATGATATACATTCAATGAACCACACTAAATCAGGTTGCTAATAAATGAGTGAGATCATGATTCTTTTTCACATCAGAATACATTAAGAATATGATTAACATTATGTGCTCCTTTGGAGTAATGAAAATGAAACATCATCCTCTAAAAACAGTAATTTTAGATGATTAACATCAGAAGGTACTAAAAAAGAATGATTCTAGTTAGCTGCGCACTGATAAATACATCATGGTGGATTTGAAAAAGAAATGAAAGAAAATAGTAACTCTTTTAGAATGTTTGAAGAAAGCTTCAGAAAAATTCTGCTTTAGTTCTAAATTTTTTTATCATGGTTTCAACAAAACACTGAAAAACTTCTAATGCCAAGTCTTAAACTTAAATTATCAGACTTAACAACCCAGAAAGTAAAGGCATGAGATGTAAAGGAAATTAGTATTACAATATAGAAAAAGCAAAAGGTGAAAAATAAGGAAAAATCTACACACCTGCGATAACCACTGCTACCCCTTGAGGAGCCACTTGTACTAACAAACTCATCATCAGTGTCATCTATCCTATAATCAGCATACTCCACAGATGCTACAGAACCTTCATCAGAATTTGAAGTATCATAACTCAAACGGCGATTACCCCTTCTCGTATTAGCAACTCTTGTCCTTCTTCTATTTCTGGAACTTCTGAAGTTGTCAAAGACCTGATACAAAATACAAGAGGTCCACCAGTTGCCGTCATCTCCAGGGAAGTCCTCAAACTCATCTCTAGCATCATCATCTCCATATTCAATCACATAGTCTCCTAAAACCACCCCCCGTGGGATTTCAGAATGAATAGTGCTCAAAACATCAATGATCTCAGAGGACTGCTGAAAATTCTCCCAATCAAGCTGCCGGGCAGGATCTATTTTCGATGGACGCGCATGAGGGTGCTCAACTTGAGCATGTTTTTGTAGCTCCAAGTAACTTCCCATGAATGCACATTGCAACTCATCGCAACAACGCTTCTTCTCATCAAGATGCAGACGAGCTTTATCAACAACAATCCACCCAGAAACCTCACCTCTACACAAGGGGCAAGTCAGCTTGCATGGACCATCTGATACCACAGGGTCACTATTTTCTGCAGAAGTTGTATCAGACACTGAAGAGGATGGCATGCCACAAGCACTTTTAAAACGGTCCAAACAATTTGAGTGCAAGTGATTTGTGTCACAGACAAACGGCCGACATCCATTATCATAAGATGAACACTGAAGAAGAACACTATTATGAGGAAAATCCAAGCATATGGGACAGAAGACATCTTCCCAACTAATATCCAATTGAATATCCTCCATGCTGTTTATACTAGTTGGACTATACTATCACGAGGTCTGAAACCATGAACAGGTCACTTATACTAAAATTGTATCCTTATTCTTCACATATCAGAATATGTTGATGAAAACTTGGAAATGTATCAAGCAAACTGTGTCCTGGATTTTAGAACAACCCTAATATAATAAGTAACCAAAAAAAAAAAATTAGAATTATATAGCAAAGGTACTTAGGAATTTAAATAACTATGAATATTTAACTACAACTGCAAACAAAACATAAAACCATTTAGAATTCATAAAATCACTCTACTGATGCTTTTCTCTTATAGACTGAGCAATGCAAATTATCAACAAAAAAACGTTAAAGGGTCAAAACCTGAACCTATTCTATCTTAAAAGATGGATATATTTTCCCTCAAATTCCTTAAAGAAATAAGTGCAAAATCGAAATTCAGAGTAAACAAAGGTCAACAGGAGTCCTAATACTGATTGATCAACCAATAGACACATACAGACGCAATCCAAAAGCCATAGAACAGTGTCACCTAAGAGATCTCATCAGTAAAATTCCATAATCAATATACCACCCAAATCTGAAATTTTACAAAAAAAGAAAAGAAAAGAAGAACACCTGTGTACACCTAAAATAGCACAAACCCACCATCAAAATAAAGGACCCTAACACACAGTTTACCGGATAACAAAATGGAAATTCAAATAAAATAACCCATCAATCAAATATAATGAATTATACAACACAAGAAGAACTTAGCAAACGTTAAAAATCCTTCCTTTAACATAAAAACGTAAAAAATAAAAATAAAAATTGACAACCCAATTTTCATTATATTGCATAAAAACGACCAAGTTTGACCAATCCAAAATAATGGGTATTCCCTACAGAACGAGTAGGGAGGAAAAAAAAAAAAGAAACTGGTAAAACACCAACCACAGGTAGGTAAACATAAATTGAAACGGACCCAGAAAATAAACCAACACCAAAACGATAAAAAAAACAGAAAAGAGACAAACTTTTGAGATGAGCCACAAAAGTGATCAACTACATTAAAAAACAGGTCCAGGGCAAAGCCAAAGTCACCAACCTTAAACACGAAAATTGATGACTCAACAGGGAAACCTCGTATGGAGGAGGAACTGGGGTGTCTAGTGTCGTTGTTGCGATCTTCGTGCAAATGGGTGATGCCAGTTTGAGGACTACTGAAGTCTCTCTCTCTCTCTCTCTTCCCTTTGCAAAGTGCAATTGCTCTTTTTCTATTTTCTATTATTTTCTAATTTGCGAAATGGAAAAGATAATAAAGGGCAATGAAGGTCCTCGTAGACTTTTTGAATCCCAATGACATTAATGCCCTTTTCTTTGGTCTCTCTCTCTCTCTCTCTCTCTACGTACTAAGGTTTCATTAACAGTCAAATTTTGATACCATTTTTGTTTTGTAATCTTATACAAAGAAAACTTGAATGAAACTTATGAAAATTCATTACGTGACTCCAGAGGCATGAGTCAAACTACTGTTTTTCTTTTTTTAAATAATTATTAGTAATTAGTAATTTCAATAACAGTAAGGTTTCATTCAATTTATGGTTCCAATTGACATTCTCGGATATAAGGTTCCATTCAATTTACGTTATCCTTTCAAAGGAGTTACTTGGTCAATTTCTTCCAGCTTTTTTGTTTTTTAATCAATTCAAAGAAAATTTAAGGGGAAAAAAAACATCAAATTTTTATGAAACTTCGTTAGGTGACTCAAGAGTCAAGAGTCAATCTACTTTTTATGTTTTAAAAAAAAAAAATATTGTATTCTGTACGGTAAGTACACCTTTTTTTACTGAATGGGTTGGGTAAATACACTCTATAATTATGCACATTTGTGTATCTCTTTTTTTTAAATAAAAAAATATGTCGCTTAAAAAAAATTTAATTCATGTATTACTCTAGAAAATTATCAACATTTAGTTATTTTGTTCTAACTTTATTCTTATATTTTTTGAGTTGACTTTATTCTTATATTTTTCTACATTGAGTTTCGTGTCTCGGTTCTCTAGTTTTATTTTCAATACCATAAAGTGGTAGATGCAGTGGCCAATGGAGTTTCTTTTATCTTTGTTGATGAGCAATTTTGAAATATAATAATTCACATTTTAACTCAAATAAAATGATAGTTTATTAGACTACCAAAAAAAAAAAAAAGATAGTTTATTAAGTTTTGCTAAGGTGCATTTAGTGCCGTCTATACTTAAATAAACGATTATTAAATGATTTGTTTGTGCTTTTAATATAATTAATACTTTATTTTTCATTTAATATTTTTTACTTTTGTTTTCTTAACTAGTGTCATAGTCAGCAAATCCTAATCTATTTAAAATTTGTTATATCCATTCGTATGATTCGTATCTATTTTAGTCATTTCATTTATCTTTGGATGCGATTTAATTTTTTATACGAGTCTATCTCTCTCTCTCTCCCATTAACATATTATTTTCTCAAAAATAAAAATAAAAAATACAACCCTTTCTTAATTTATCTATTTTCAAATTTCAATCTCATTTCTATGTTCGAGTTTTTCCACTTCGATTTCAAATATCTTCACTTTTTTTTATTAGAAAATGGTCACATAAAACAACCCAAAAAAAAAATTAAACTGATCAAATATCTTCAATCTTAAAAGCTACTTACCGATTTCAAACGGAATCAATAGGTTTCACTGCAATTCTAGCGAGTAAAATGCACAAAACATTGATGGGTAAATTTAAATTTCATATAAGATTGAGATTGGTTGGGTTAGGTATTCTGTCTATTATATATTGTCGGAAAAATACATAGAAAATAGAGCTTAAGATTAGTGGCTTGAATATTCTTTTTTGCAGGAAGAGTACAGTTCTATTCTATCATTTTTTTATTTTCCATTTTTAGACACGTGGTAATTACATGCCATGGGCGTGGGGAATGAAAATACCTATTTTTTTTTTTATATATATTCTGTGAGTACCCGAAGGCTGAAAGCATGTATTTTCTTATTTTAAAGTAAATTCCAAAATTTGTCTCTAAGAAGCCATAGGCATATAAATTCTGCATACTGAAATTTCACAAAAGTTCAAATACCTCATATCATATGTGTTTGAATCACTTATGCTTTATATTTTATTATATATTTCCTGGTGCTTTTTTCATCCAAGTCTCTTCTTAATAGTATTAAAGTTTTTAATTAATACCTAATGGTGCAGCTCAGTTGGTAACTTGGCGCTAAGTTCGTGGGGTTGGATATGTGTTCGATTCCCGCTGAATGCATTCTTGGGGAGGGGGCTGAACCTTTAGCCATCACTGTTCCCCCGCACTCCGGATTAGTCCCATAGCCGGCTCAAAGAGTCGAAGCTCGTGGGGATACCGGAGGGAGTCAACTCGTCTCAAAGAGATAATTACGGTTGGGTAGCTCAAAAAAAAAAAGTTTTTAATAAATATGACTACTCTACCTCTTTATAAAAATACACTTGAGCTACCTTGTAATATTCTACCCCCAAACTTTGCAAGAGTGTTTTACTATATAAAATTTCTCTAATTTTTGATAAAAATTTGTGAAGTTCCTGTAATAAGACAATATTATAAAATTTGTGATATATCCCAATATTAAGGGCATGTTTTTTTTTTTCTACGTATAAAAAATACATTCGGCTGTGATAATTCGCTAAAGAGGGCATCATGCCAATTTTAAGGGTAGTCTTAACATCATTGGCATTTGGATTCACATGATGTATGCTTAACATAAATTATTCACAAATAAAATATATATCCAATAAAAATTATTCTAATAATTACTTGTGAGAATTTATCAGTATAATTATAGTACATATTGTGACACTCTGTCCTATATTAATGTTACTTATCTTATTAACTTTTTATAATTGTTTAAATAATACTTTTCCTTTTATTTTACTTGCTTCTTAGAAACATAAAAGAAAATTTATTCATTTGTTACATGAACTTCATAAATTTTATCTTAAACTGGAGAAATTTTATATCGTAAAAAATCCTTGCAAAGTTTGGGAAAAAAGACAACACAAGACACTTGAAGTACATTTTCGTAAAAAAAAGATAGAATAGTTATAATAAATAGAAATACTAACACTGTTAAAGGTGGAATTTGGATGGAAAAAAATAGAGGATTAAATAATAAAAAATAATCAAGGAGTTATTTGAACTTTTCCGTATTTATTAACAAATCACGAATTTTAATTATATTAGTGTTTATTGTGTCTGTTGTTATCCACAATTTTGGAGATTTATTATTATTTGATAATTTTTTTAAATTATATTTTTAAAAATAATATAACAATCATTGTTTGAAAATGAAGTATTTTAGTAACTTAGTCTGTAATAAAAAAAGGGTTTTATAAGAGTTATGTTGTAGGAAAAGTGATTGTGTTATGTTATAGAGATTCGTTTTGCGTGCCAGAGTTTTTTTTTTTTTTTTTTGGTTTCAAAAATTGCGGGTCCCACAAAATGTTGTGTGTGTAGAAAAGTTGTTGTGGTCATGTTAAATGATAGATGCAAAACCCATAAAAAAATATTGAAAAAACGTAAACCATTCAAATAATAACTTTTTTCATGTGGATTTATTATTACAAAATATAATTAAACTTTATATGTTACTTAATATTTATGAATTTTATATATATATATATATATATATATATATATATATATATATGGGTAGGATCCTTTGACACCGGTGTCAGATTTGAAATTTGACACCTCATCTGATAGCCGTTAGATCAAAAAAGATCAACGACTCTGATTTGTAAGCATGTGACACCATTGATCTTTTTTTATCTAACCACAATAAGATGAGGTGTCAAACTTCAAATTTGACACTGGTGTCAAAGGATATATAACGACTCTGATTTGTAAGCATGTGACACCATTGATCTTTTTTTATCTAACCACAATCAGATGAGGTGTCAAACTTCAAATTTGACACTGGTGTCAAAGGATCCTACCTCAAATTTAAAGTTTGACACCTCATCTGATTGTGGTTAGATAAAAAAATATCAATGATGTCACATGCTTACAAATCAGAGTCGTTGATCTTTTTTGATCTAACGGCTATCAGATGAGGTGTCAAATTTTAAATTTGACACTGGTGTCAAAGGATCCTACCCCTATATATATATATATATATATATATATATATATATATATATAGGGTCAGGATCATTTTACACAAGTGTAAGTTACACTCTCAATCTTGACCATTGATCTCATTTATATCTAGGGACTCTAATTTTTTAGTAATGTGAGCCATTGAATACAAGTGGATCAATGTTCAAGATTGAATGTAAGACTTCTAACTCTTACATTGGTTTAAGAATATATTGCCTCACATATATATATATATATGTGCGTGTGTGTGTGTTTCGTAAAGATCATGTAACATGAAAATTGGTACATCATGGTACAGAGACTTGTTTTTGTAGGCTCCACCAAATATTAGACAAAAAAATGAAGAAAAAAAGCTTGCACGGAGAACGAACTCAGAGCATGAGGAAACAAAAATTGTATGTAACATGACATTTGTTTTTCCTTATGTATATATACGAGGCATGATCCTTTGATATCGGTGTCAAATTTGAAGTTTGACACTTCATATACGAGCTGTTAGATCAAGAAAGATCAACGACTGTAATTTGTAACCATGTGATACCATTGATCTTTTTTTATCTATCAGCACTCAAATGAAGTGTCAAACTTCAAATGTGACACCAGTGTCAAAAGATCTTACTTATATATATATATATAGATACACGATTATTATTAGACAACGTTTTATATATAATATTCTGTTCTATATTTCTATCCATATATATACTTCTAAAAAAATTTCAAAACTTGATTTATTTATTTTTTTGGTAAGCTTCAAAACTTCGTTTTTAGTCATTGAATACGTGCCCATAGAAATCCCCACTTCTTTACAAATAACTTCAAATTGAATTAATTATTTATTCAATTTATTTATTTTAATTTATTCTCAGAATGACACGTGTCATTCTAAATTCTTCTTAAATCTTTTATATTAAATACGTATATCTCCTTTGTAACTAAAATATTTTATCTTTTAATATATATATATATATATATATATATATATATATATATATATATGAGGTTTAATGTTAATCATTTTAAATGACATAAGATATGTCATTTTAGGAGAGAAATAGACACAAGAAATAGAAATCATGGGAAAGAGAAAGTGAGAGATTTTTTTTAATTTAAATTTTTAATAAAAAATTTATTTTGTGTCTATTTCTCTTAAAATGATATAATTTTATGTCATTTAAAATAACAAACACTTTCCTATATTAAATGTTACTTAAATTAATTATGTATATTTTTCTTATAATTTCAGTATTTTTTCTTAAATATTTTTTTCTTTCTGTGAAAAGTGGGGGCAGAAGCCCAAAACAAAACAGAGGACATCTAGGAAAAAGTCAAATAAGAAAGCTCACAAATAGACTTCCCCCATGCGTGCTAAACAAATCAGGGTCTTTCAGGATTTTTGGCTCGGTTCGTAAAGGTCTGACTTTATATATCTAAAATTAGTTGTTGGCACAAGGCTTGAACTTGTATAAAAGCTCGTTTAATAAAAAGGTCGTTTAATAAAAAGGTCTTAGACTCCAATTCAAAAGCTCGGTCTTAGAGTCTTTCAAGCTTGCATAGTAATTATTTTATTTTATTTTTAATTTTTTATACTACTTGTAATAATCATCTCTTTCTCCTCAATCTATTTCACCATATTTTATTGGTTAAACAGATTTTTTGAATGATTTTATTCTATATTATGTTGTTTGGATATACATTGAATTTATGAATATTTATGAAATTGCTAGTGTTGTAGATTGTATATTCTATTTGTATAAATTTTTGTTGTTTTATTTTTTTTTAACAGGCTAAATCAGGCTTTTATTTTTTGTAAATAAGCCAAGACACAGATCGATAATTATATTTATGGGTTTGCTTTTTCTACAGTTAATGTAGATAACTTATCTACATTGAGCTCAAAACGACGTAATTTTGAGGCAAAAATCAAGGTATTTTTGTAATTATAATTTATTTCAGGGTTATAATAGTCTTTTTCATTATAATTTTTTAATTTTTCAACTCAAAACGACGTCGTTTTAGCAGCGAATGTAGATAATTTATATACATTCACTTTAGAAACATTACCGCCTATATTTATCAGGCTGACACATTTAAACACAAACTTAATCTTTTAAGACCAAAGCTCGACTCGTTAACACCTCTATCCCCTACCGTCACAGGACAATAAATAACAACAAAAACAATAACAATAGTAGTTACGCTAAATGAAGATATTTTATCAAATCAACTCTGTTAAATATTTCTCTGCAATTTCCTTTAAAATGTTTCTCTTTTTATATTTTACAAACTTTTTAGCTTTCCACCGTCAAATCAGTCTTTTCGATTACGTTATGTCTTCAACATATATTTCAAAATACCATAAGCATAATTCAAGATAGTAAGACAAATCATAATAACTAAAACCTAAATTTTTGTTATACCAATTAATCTGGAATTGTTTCCCAGCTCTGAACTTCAAATTAGATAAAAATAAATAGAAAAAACTTTAAAAATTTTCTTTATGAATTTTCTTAATTATCACTTACGCCCTTCAAAAAAAATTTAAATCATTTAAATTCTTATTTAAATTTATTTTATCACTTATCTCCTAACTTAAAGTTTTTTTTTTACTTATTCCCCTCACTTAAGGAGGTAAATGATAAAAAACTTTAAGTCAAAGAAATAAATGATTCAAAATTTTGAGGAGAGAATAAATAATTATAAGTAAAGTTACAGGAGAATTTTTGAAGTTTTCCGAAATAAATACTTGTATATTTAGTTTGACAAAATTTTATCTTATGCTACTCAATATTAACGTGACTTGAATAGCATATTTTAACCACCATTTAACCAACAATACCTAAAGTAAAACTACTTTTTTTATTTTTTAAATCTCAAACGAAATATTTTATTAAATAAGCTTTAAACTCTATCATTAATAAATTTAGCAATAATCACATTAAATTTTGAGAAATTAAATCTACTCTCTCTTTTTTGGTACACAAAAATCTCAACTCTGTGTCTCAAAAGAAACATGAATATTGGCCATATTGTCGTTAAGTTGAAAGATCCAAATAGGATTTCAACTTTTTTTAAAAAATAAATAAATAAATAATAAAACTATTGACAAAAGTTCTACCTTTATAATTGAACTGGATTATTTAAAAGAATATACTTAAAATGTAATATTTATATAAATTTTTTATATTATTACATAATCATATGATCATGTTAGAAAATTTTAACTAATTTTGACAACATGATATTGCTTAAATTTGCTCATCCATTTATCTCTTAAAACCCAGGTTGGCCGGTTATATTTATACTCAAAATTAAAAAAATTAATAGATCTCTATTCCCCCCTCCTCCCCTCTTTCATGAGAATATTATTTTTCATATTACACGAGATAGTTTTTTTCATACAAAACATAAAAAAGTGGATAAAATCTATTTATTTTCTTTCTCTCTCTTTTCCTCAGTGAATCTCACACGTTTTTTCATGTTACATAAAACAAATATTATCTCATACAATATGGAAACAATACCATCCCTTTCTTCTTCGTTCAACTACCAAGTGCGAACAACAGGAGGACAATGTAAAACGGAACGAGAGTCGGGAAGCTAACTTTGCTTTTTCACACTTTTTTTTTTTTTTAGTAAAATCTTTTTCACACTTTAATTGCGAACTTTCGCCATTTAGGAGTAAATGAATAAACAAGCTCAATTGCACAACTTGAACAAAAGGTGAAAAAAACAATATCGACAACAATAACCACTTAAAGATATTATAGAATTATACACACATATTAGTCACGTGAATTTTCAGTTTGTAACAGATAAACAGAAGGTGATACAGAAGATCAACCAAAGGATTTTATTAGCGATTTCACAAAATACAGACGTGTAACCTATCAATGAGCAGAAACAGAAGTTTACATAACTAAATGAGTTAGATGTAAAGAAGTAATTCAATCCAAAAACTTAAACTATTAAATGAGGTTACATTACTGATTTATTTTATATATCTCTAACACGTCTCCTCAAATAGAGACCAATAGACTTGAAGGATAAATAATGCACCAGGCCCACTACCTATGCTAAAAAACTTTACAATATTAAATTAATTATTAATCAAATAGGGGGCAATGAGGATTAAACCTGTGACACCTAGGCTCTCTACCATGTAAAGAATTAATTCAACTCAAAAACTTAAACTAGTAGGTGAGGTTACATTAATAAGTACAATAAATAAAATGAAGGTAGCTGAACGATTATATGAATTTTTTGAACTTTTCGAAACCACAATTTCATATTTACTGAGCAAAAAAAAATTCCCTATACAAATGTAGTAGTTATTTCCTTGTGTTACAAAAGTGTTGGCAGCAGTAATTTATATAATAAACCTTCTGCAATTAAAAAGAAAAAGGGAAAATATAGGATATGTGTAAAGTATACTTACTGACTGAAACAATATCTGTATTTGCTATGCAGGTCGTCCAAAGATTTAGCTATCTATCAGACAAAACTGACTCACTCCATGAAAGAAGGAGATCCCTGACAACCGTTGGAAAGTCTAGAACAAAAAGATATTTATGTTTAGTTTGCCTCATGGCATCTTGGCAAATAACAATTGAACCGCGTTAAATTCAGGGTTCACAAGAGCTTTACCTCGAGCTACTTCCACAGCCACTGAGGGTATGTCTATCTGATCTTCAACCAACCTGTACACATCGACAAGCTGTAGAGAACACAAGTCAGGATTCTCCAGCACAAGGTTATGGGCTTTTAAGAGGGTGGAAAGGGTTATATCATCAGGACAAACCTCTTCAATATGAAGCTTTGAGTCCTCGGTCAAAGCAAGAAGAAGCTGTCTACGTATTCCTTCATCAATAAAGAAAAGGCGAGCTCCGTCTTTGATTGTGTCCGTGAGGTCCAATTTTTTTTCTACTTTCAAGTCTCTCAGGCTTTGCCTGTATAGATGAGTCTCTGGTGAATATTATTGGATGACTGAAAGGAAGTAACCAAACATGCAGTGCTATTTTTGTGTGTGTGTTGTTGTTTTTTTGGGAGGGGGGGTTATATGCAATGCTATTTTAATAAAATACAGACGTGTTTTTCACTTGCAGTGCTGGATTGCTGCTCATCTTGGCCACATTTTCCTTTGCAAGAATAATAAGGTTTTCAAGCCGTTTCCACTGGAAAAGACCATCTTTGAATAGAACCTAAACCAAGTAGTAAAGTATATCAAACGAGGAGCAATTTAGTTTAATATAGCAAGTATAACTAAGTTAGGATTCAAAGTAAATACAAAAAAAGAATAAAAAAGATTCTTCCGATTAATTATTGATTGCTAAGATATCTCTCGGGCATTGTACTGAAAATTTCATCTAAGGACCACTTGGATTCAGTGCTTTGACCTAGGTGACAGGGTGAAGGAAGAAAATGGAAGGACCTTTCCTGCAAAGACATCTGACTGAATTGTGCACCCACAAGTTTAGGAAAGGGATGAGAAAAAGATAGAATTTATAGCTTCCATTCCAATATAAAGAATCACCTTCCACTACTATAACAGGACTACATGAGTGAAGTAAGATACAAGTCAAGACTTAGTGACACCAAAAGACATATGCTTCAAAGTTAAACTATTGACTTCTGATTAGCTTTATCTCCAATAACCATGACAATGCAGTATCCTTGGCATATGAATTTAAATAAAGAAGGTAAAATAGTGGCAGTGCGGCACCATGGAACCCCTTCGTCATCCTTCATCCCCCACCCTTCCTGCAAATTTTCTTCTTGAGAAACCTACCACCATAAAATTCTTCCCCAACATATGATAGTATGATACTCAACATTGATTTAAAATTCTTAAATATAGGTCACCAAGAAGGTCACAGGTTCGAGTCTGGGAAACAGCTTATTTGCAAAAACGCATGGAAAAGGCTGCGTATAATTGACCCTCACCCCTACTTTCGCAAGTTAAGGAGCCTTGTGCACTAGGTTTTGCCTTTATAGGTCACCAAGAATAAGCCTCTTTCAATTTGAGGATTGTAAATTAGACAGAATATAAGTTATATGTGTAGGAAATTAGAATTAAAAATATTTCGATTTTTATTTTTCTATTAATTAGTGGATAGGACTAATGACTCGTTGCTGAGTCATCCTTATCAATTCTTTCTCATTCTCTCTTGTATAAATCTCCCTACCAGTGTAAAATCATTTGTATCAATTTAGAAAAAACAATTCTTTTCATATTTCAATAATATGCATAAAAGCTTATGCTTTTCGAACAGCATTACTAACCTGTATGAGGCGTTCACGTAGAGCTGGATTTGGGTCTGTTAGTAATCGCTTAGCCACATATGGATAGGCAACCTATTTGACATACAGGTCTTAATATTATATTGACAAATAAGGTATGATAGAAAAGGAACAGTTGACAGTGGCTCAAACATCTTTATTTACAATAATGAAGTATTTGTTCTATAGCAAACTATGTAAAAGTTTTTCATTTCTAACATATATTATGATACAGTTTTCATTCTTCTAATGCAGGATTATAATTATTTTACAAAAAAGGGAAAAAATTCTTTTTTAAAATAAGTTGCATGCAGTCTTGAAATCTGGACAAGTCAGAAAAACAAGCTTTTACCTCAAGAAATTTGAAGTCAGGCTTCAGAGTAAAACAGATGCCTTCTTGAGTCAACAAAGAACGGATTACAAGTGAAAACCTTTCAGGGATTCGAATGGGATAATTGTAAACCAACTGGTTAAACTTTCCTGCAGTATATTTCATTAAAATATCAGTTGAGAATATATGAAATAGGGTAGGGTAAAAAGGTTCTCCCCCCTACCCCACATTTTTTTCTCTATAATGCGGAAAATAAATTGCATCATTACAAATAAATGATTTGAGAAAACATGATAAAGTCTTTATCCACACATTCAATCATTCCAAGATTACCATGAATTCAGAACACCAAACTAAATCATTATTGAGATATTAAGAGGTAAACTATAGTTTCTCCAGAAACATAAATAAAGCAAATTAGTTTTTGGTCCCTGTATAAGACAACAGATTTGTTCCTTCCATACAATATCATTGAAGAAAAATATATGGGATTATGATAAATACCTCCATTTAGAGTATATTCTAGAAAAAGGAGTGGGGCCAGTGTTGGAAACAATATAACTGCTCAGAGAAGTTGTTACAGGATGAGAAGGATGAGTAAATCTGTTAGCAATTCTGTTAGAGGAAATGAAGGGCAAGAGAATGTGGGAATACACATCATTATAAATAGGGAGGTTAATTTTAGAAGAGACAGGCTGGGATACTGGACTTGGGAGAAAGGTTTGTTTTTCTACAATTGTTCTTTTGAATCTTTACTATTTTTCCACATTGTAACCTTTGTAATGTCTTCTTGATATCATACTGATGTCAATAGAATTAATACAAATATTCAGTTCTGTCTTTTCGTCCATTTCTTTTCCTTCTTTGATTGGGTTCTTAACATAGTAAGAATAAGATGGAACAACAGAGTCACACAACCTGTAACTAAGAGTCGTTAACTTGTTTGGATTTCTTCCTTTCGGATTCAGACAGTATGCATAGTGACTTGTTTCTTTAAGTCATCCATTTGACAATAGTAACAAAATTCAACCCAAAATTACTTTCAAGAAACAATAGTGTTTAGATCAAATGGTCACATAGCAACTGCTTTTTATATTAAATAATGAGGGGAAAGTGCCTACCAGTGACACTACGAAAATTAAAATCTGACAGTCCTTTTCCAGAAGAGTTCTGCCAAATTGCTTCTAAAGCAGGAATTATTGGAGTGACATCGGTCCCCGGTGTCAGGAAGCCTAATCTGGTGAAATCATTAGCCATCTCAGCATAGTCCTCATTCACAGCATGCACAACAGCATCAGTTAAAATCTGTTTATTTTGCTGAAGAAGCAGATCAAAATGTCAGCAACAAAAAGCCTACTTAAAACTATGAACCATGCTCTAGATTATAATGGAAGCTGTAGTGAAAGCAAAATATTTTTCCATTTCTATAATAGATCCTTAAAAGAGGACAAGCCATGAGCAGTGGTAAAGCCATACTTTCTAATTAAAAGGTCACGGCCTTGAATCTAGGAAACAACCTCTTTGTTAATGTGTAAGGGTAAAGTTGCATATAAGGATTGTCTTCACCCCTACCGTCGCTAGTTGGGGTTTATAGGGCAGTGATTTTTTTTTCTATAATAGATCCTTAAATGTGCACCCATTAGGGGTATTTAAGAGAGTTCACTTGGACATCATAAACATGCCACACAAACTCTTATCTAACCAAAACAGAAGGTACTAACTTGACAAAATAGGAAAGCATATCATGAAAGGCACATCTATGAACATTATGCACTACACATGTCAAACACCGAGGGTATAGTTGAATTTGGTTAAAATCTACAATGTTGATTGGCAGGGATCTTCAATTGTCTTCAGTTTTTGCTTCTGGGGTTAATACGTTTGAACTTGCAGCATTCTCAAGACAGAACCATCCAATTAATATGATTGTTACATAACAAGATAGCAAATATTTGAGCAGAAATTATTGTCTATTTTTTTTTATGAAATAAAGTTGTCTATTTTACTTCTTAGTGGTACTTGACTAATGGTCATTTGACTCATTTCTAAGAAATGTTCCTGTAATTTATTCAACAGGATTTATTAGATGTAATGATGTATTATGTTCTTTATCTTTTCTTTTGCCTTCACAAAATAACATTTAATACCTAGACTTTAATCTTTTTCTTTCTCGAATAACATTTCTTCATTTATTAAAAAAAGAAAAAGAATGTCAACCTCAATGGATAACAAGTGTGCACCCTGTTGCACTGACTTGATGGAAATTTAGGCTTTAATTAGGATTTATGTTGTTAAGAGTGTTAGTGTTAATAGTGTAGAAGTCCCACATTGAGTGTGTCTCTTTGTATTCTTCAATTGGTTTGCTATATAATAGCACCAATGTTGTGTAGTTTAATACAACAAGGATTACTATCATTTCCTCTTGTATCTATGATATTCAACATGGTATCAGAGCCTAACAAGAGGAATCTTAATACGTTTAACTTAGTTCTATTTTCCATAATTTCAATATGGTTATAGAGAGATATCACCCTCCTTGAGGGATTCCCGTTGCTATTTCTTTTTCATGTTTTTCTTAGTATGCTCTGTGACTGCAGCTTAGACTGATCTGTCACATCAGAAAAGAATGATCCTTGGGAAGTTGTTGGGTTGACCACCGTTGTCGTTGACCAACCACCGTTGACCGCGTCGTCCACCGTTGACAGCCGTCTCCGGTGACTTTTCCGATGACTTTCTGGCGACTTTTTCGGTGATCCACCACCGTCTCCGACGACTTTCCCGACCACCCACCGCCGTCTCCGGCGACTTTTCCGATTCCGCGAAGCTTTGTTTTTCTTTAATCTTCTTTCTTCCCAAGATGGAGTATTTATACTATTCATCATCCATCTTGAGGGGGAGCACTGTCCAAGTTGCTGATGTTAATTCCGACACCGAAGTTCCTCTTGAGGGGGAGCACTGTCCATGTTGCTGATGGTCATTCCAGTACAATTGTCTTTGCCGATGATAATTCTGGCACTGTTTGGAAGTTTCTCTTAAGGGGGAGCACTGTCCATGTTGCTGATGGTCATTCCAGCACAATTGTCTTTGCCGATGATAATTCCGGCACTGTTTAGAAATTCCTCTTAAGGGGGAGCACTGTCCATGTTGCTGATGGTCATTCCAGCACAATTGTCTTTGCCGATGATAATTCTGGCACTGTTTAGAAGTTCGTCTTGAGGGGGAGCACTGTCCATGTTGCTGATGGTCATTCCAGCACAATTGTCTTTGCCAATGATAATTCCGGCATCTTCCATGTTGATGTTCATTTCGACGCCATTTTTAGCACATTGTTGATTTTTGGTTTCTCATTTAGGAGATTTATTTTGATGTTATGTTACTTGGTCTTTCTTGTAATAAGCTTGTAGCATAGTCAAGGGGAAACCACAGCTGCTCACCAACTGTTAAATGAAATGTCTGAGAGGGATCATGATGCTGATGTCCTGGTCAGCTCAGTTGTCTTTGCCGATGATAATTCTGGCACCATCCATGCTCTGATGTCCATTCCAGCTCTGTCTCTTTATCAGCTCTTCAGACTGATGGTCATTCCAGTTGATTTGTTGTACTTAGTCATTTCATTTCGTTGATGTAGCATTGTTGTTTTTGGTTCCTAATGGGAGTATTATTTACGTATCAAGCTTGTAGCATATGATCTATATGCTACAGCTTGAGGGGGAGTGTTAAAAGTGTTAGTGTTAATAGTGTAGAAGTCCCACATTGAGTGTGTCTTTTTGTATTCTTCAATTGGTTTGCTATATAATAGCACCAATGTTGTGTAGTTTAATACAACAAGGATTACTATCATTTCCTCTTGTATCTATGATATTCAACATATGTTTTATGATTTATTGCCTTATTTAATTATGATTTGGAGTATAATACCAAACTAAATAATAATTAGTGCTCTATGGTTTATATTGCACCATAACACATCCTTCAGAATAATACCAATATAATTATTATTTTGAGTATTAGTTTTCCTCCATCTACACCAAAATCCATATAAATTCAACATGAAGAATTACCTGACTAAGAACAGCAACATTGCCGAAGTCCACATATGCAATCCGTCCATCTCGCATGGCAAAAACATTTCCAGGGTGAGGATCTCCATGAAATAATCCGAATTCCAACAATTGTCGCAGGGCAGCACTCACACCAATTGTTAGAAACCCATCTACATCAATACCAGCTTCTTTGATCGCCTGATTCACAAGAAGGATAATTATTAATCCACAAGACTACAAACCATGTTGCTTGACAATAGATACAGTATATAGTAATAGCATCACCAATCCAAATAAACAAACCTTGGGATTGGTGCACCTAATACCATCAATCCATTCCATTACTAACACACGTGGACCAGAAAGTTGTTTGTAAACCCGAGGAATTTTGACAGTTGGGTCGTTTTTAAAATTCTCAAGAAAGTCTTCAAGATTGCGTGCTTCCTGAATTAAAGATAGAGAAATCAGTACATTTGTTTAAAACAAATATACACAGAAAAAACACACTCAATATGCCAAGAGACATTCTTATTTGGTGCTTTGACAAGTTAAAAGCATTCATTAAACTACAATGACAAAAGGCAGTTCTGAAAGTTACCAAGGTATAATCAAGCTCTTCCAAAAGCTTTTCACCAAATTCATCAACAATCAGCTCAGCATTACACCCTAATTTCTGAATACTAATGCCATTTAAGAATGAAGCCAATGTGCGGAATAGGAAAAGATCTCGATATATTATGGGCTCTATCTCAGGCCTTTGTACCTGCAAGTATACCAAAGCATGTCTTTAGAAGTGGATTTAACCTTGTTCTAAAACTTTGCTTTTTCCGCTTTGTTTATATTTAAGCAATACATATGCAGCACTTTAATGGCACAAAACCATACAGTATGAAAAATTAAAGCCATAATTTCCATTGATAATCAGGAAAAAAGCAAAACGAGTACAAACTAAAGAGAAGGGAAGAAAAAGTCAAAATTTATATGCCAACAAATATAAACAAATTTAAAAAGGCATGAAAACATTGATTTGGAACAGTATGTACAAGCAAATATCAATGAATGATCTCATCATAAAATTACGTAACATATAAAACTTAGGGCTTGTTTGATGTGATGTATAAGGCCTAATAGTATAAACTTATACTATACGTTATGATATTTTAAGCTGTTTGGTATGAACATAGTATGGTATAAGCTTATACAGCATAACCCCATAATATATCAAAACGATGAATAACTTAATCAAGCCTAAGGGGGTGGGATTAGGCCAAATAAGAGGTTGATGTATTAACATTGTTGACTAGTATAATTCTCAAAAATTAATATATTATTTCAATATTAATATATTAAAATAAAAAGTAACTTTTTAATATATTAATTTTTAAAATATTGAAAACTTTTATTTTTATAAAAATTAATATATTTTTTGGACACGCTGATCAATATATTTTTATAAAAATTAATATCATATGATATATTTGGAAGAATTATATAAATTCTTTATTCAAGGTATTTTTGTTAAAATATTTATTTTTATTATATCTAGTATTATACAGTGTATTACCAAATAATAGATGATATTATCTTATACAATACATTGTAATATACAATACCATGCCAAACGCTGGATAGTATTAAAATTTAATCAGGTCTTATACTATCAGGTCTTATCCTATAATGTGCACCAAACATGCCCTTCGAGTCTTAGGTACATATAGAACTTAAGAGTCTTAGCCACAAAATGCTCTTAGCAAGAGATGTAGGTCACAGCAGGATTATAAACTAATATGTATGTAAAGCTGATTACTCAAATGCTGCAAAAAGAAGAGTAAGAGAAATAGTTAAGCGGATTATGTAAAGACTATAGCTAATCAAGCTATGGAAAGTGCGATATAAACTGATACCATGTCAGAACTTCTTAACATCATGTAATAAGAGCTATATTTGGAAATGAAATCAGAAATATGACACAAGGGGAGCATAATGAGACCTTGATAGCAACATCCTCGCCAGTGGCACGTAAAGTAGCCCGGTAAACTTGACCTAAACTTGCAGCTGCTATTGTCTTTGATGAGATTCTGCTGAAAACAGCTTCAAGGGGCTGACCCAGTTCCTCCTCTATGATACTGAAGGCAATCTACAACATAAATCATTGCTTAGCATAAATAATTTTAGGCCATAAATCATAATTATAATATCCTGGTGATTAATGATAAGATAATTGCTTAGAATAAACAGAATCAAAAAATTAAGGCTTGGTAATAAGTAATACTTGATTGGGAAATGAAGGAACATCATCTTGAAGAATGCATAGTTCATTCATATAATCTTCTCTAATGATATCTGGCCTATTTGCAAGGACCTGTCCAATAAAAGAAAACTCATTATCAATTGGAAAACAGAAAACTAAAACTTGCTTAGCAGAGTATAAGACTAAACAACATACCTGACCAGCTTTAATAAAGGAAGGCCCCAGATCACACAAGAGGTTCCTAAGTTGTCGGGCACGATATGGAACAACCTCTTCATCCCTTCCAACTAGGAAATCATACATCAAGGTAGACCAGTAGAAGCCCAGACTCCAAACTATCTCCACTCCCCGCAACATAAGTGACAAAATAGCCCCTCTTGATTCTAATACCTTATTCCTCACCTAATAACCAAAAAGAAAAAAAGAAATAGTTAAACAAAAGTTGCTTCAAGTTTGAAATAATCATCCAGATGATTGAAATAAATTTGTTTATTTCACTACCCTCCCATTGCGAAAGGATACTCTTCCTTCTACCAACAAGGATAATGAACAACATTTACAATGACAATTATATCCATCTTATACTAGCAGTTTAACATATTTATCATTCAGAATAATGTGGAGTCTAGCATGTTGGACAGTAAAGTATAATCTAAAACAAATTACTTAAATATCTTCTCTCCATTTGGCAATACCCTTTTCATTTGCATTTGAATTCTCAAAAGTGAGACGAGTGCCCAACAGAGGGTAAAGTGCAGAATTGATAGTCGTTTATATATATTTTACATAATACAATCACTTGAATTACATATGATAGATACGTAAAAAAACACTCCCTTGATCTTCACAAGAGAGGCTATCATTTCCATCTTATTCTCTGAAGTACGATCAAAATTCTTTTGATATATCCAATGGTTTATCGATTACCCAACTACTCCGGTTTGAGCACTATTGGAACCATTATAGTGACGACTCTTCCAAGACCATTTTCTTCATTCCTAGGGCTCAAACACAAGACCTCTACAATCAAATTTTCAGCACTTTGTAGTACATACTCCCTCACTAAAATTATAAATTTATAATTTTAGAAGGTTTAGTTGGTCTCCTATTCCGGCCTAAAGTACACCGCTAACTTAAAAATATCTAAACCCTTGTCCTCAAAGCACCAAATTAAATAAATCAAGTAGCACCATAAATAAATAAAGAGTTACATAGCTGTTCATGAAAACAGGTTATTTCTTAAGCAATGGCAACTCATTCATGGATTGTAAACTATGTCTACTTTAAAAGACACAAAAGTAATATCAAGTTCACACCACTAAAGATACAACTCCAGTTGTATGGAAGAAATAAATAAATAAAGAGCCTGAACCAGTCGTTTCTCGTGCAAGATTTAACAACAATTGATAATTGCTTCAAGATAAGACTACAAGAAAGCATGTAAAACGCAAACAGAGAAATTGAAACGCAGCGAGTAACTGTTGAAGCCGTACGATCTCGGGAGAGTACTTGCGGAAAGGGATGCAGACGCCACGCTCGAAGTCAAGCTGTTCCAGCGCACTGCTCGATTTGCTCGGTTGCTTCAAGGCCCTCGAAACGCTGCCGTTTGAAGCAGAACTTCCCGTCGCTGCGGAACTCGAAATTCGAGCTCGCCATGCCTTCTTGCCTCTTCCTCCGCTTCTCTGAAGCAACAACGGTTGAAACGAAGAAGGAACAGTGCATAAGTAGTTCGCGCAGATGAACTCCATGGATGTACGGAATTGAGCTAAAACCCTAAATTGAGAATGAAATTGGGAGCATTTTGAAAATGACTTGGAAGATCAAGTAACTGAATAACCAACCACTCCTTCGAATATTAATTGTTTTATTTGAAATTTTCATTTAAATATGGCACGTAAGAAGGTCATGGTGAAGGCGAGGTTGAGAATGGACAGCCACACGGTGAACTTTGCATGCTTGATCCACGTGGCTGAAATGAATAACAGCCACATCCATTTTTGCTTTGGATAATTATGTGGATACATTTTTGTTATGATATGGTTGGATTGGATACTTAGTTGACAATATTTTTTGACTTTTAATTTCATAACCTTCCGTGTGTAATAAAAATTCATGGATGTTGAAATGTCATTTGAAAACTTTGATCATATATCATTTGATGCAAATATGAAACTTTTCAATTTAGCTTTGATCCACTCTTATTCTTAAAAATTTTATACTATTAACGTTTTATTTAATTTTAAAGCCTTAATTATCGAACATTTTTTTGGAAAAAAAATGATTTAATTCATTAATATGATAACGAATACTACTATCTCCGGTCATGTCCGGAAGTTTTTGTGGTTGAAAACAAAATTAGTCACAAAACGATAAATTGATTGCAGTATCTAAAAAATAATATGTTCATTGTCATATAAGATGTTAAATTCGTTAAATAACATATTATTGAATACAAGCTAAAAAGCATGGACACGCACTTTTTTAAAATTTGTGGGTGTCGGACACCGACAGACATCGACATGTTCTGACACGCATCCGACACGTGGTCAATATTTTAGGACACGCGGTCAACGTTTTGACACGCTTTTCGGCACATAGACAACTTTTTTCGACACGCGGTGAACGATCTGACACGTTTCCGACACTTTTTTTTTAAGTCTAAATTTTTTATTTTTTATTTTTTGGTTTCCTATTTTATTTTATAAACTAAACATAAAAAAATAATTTATAAATCAATTTTTTCGGTTATGAAATTTGACGTAAAAAATTAACAAAGTATGAAAGATTATTTTTGTTTATATTTAGAATAAATACCCTTTTTGATCCTCAGCAAATTTTACGATGTCCGCTTTTGTTGTAAATAATAATTATTTAGTTATTAGTTATTATTTATTTATTTATTTGTTGTATTGGGCCAAGCCCATTAGGTCAAAATTAGGTCAAGTATTCTCTATAAATAGAGAACCCTTTGTACAGATTATTTACAATTCAATAATATTTCAAATACCCTTTTCTTTCAAGTTGGTATCAGAGCTCTCGATCTTGAGGGCTCTGCTTCCGCGCCTATTGTCTTTAGAACAAGAACCTTTTATTCTTTTTGTCTCTCGCTGCCATCAGCCGCCAACGAATTTTTTCTGGGGACCTCTTGGACCGAGAAGATCTCTATTATACTGGATCTCTGTTTCTGTTCATCGTCTCCATTATTCTTCATCAAAAGACAGCATCTGTTCATCACGATTTGACCCTTTCCCGGTGGTTTTTCAACTCCGAACAGACCCAGAAAGAACCGTGCTCACCGAACGACGTTGCTCCAGAAATTTCAGACCGGACGGCCACCGAACGCGCCCACACGCGCCGCCCCTTCAACCGCGAGTGAAGCCCACGCGCAGCCAATCTCACCGGCGCGTGGCGGCGCGTGAGACCATTTTTCCGGATCGGACCACCGCGATCTTGATCGTCCTTTCATCCTCTTTCTGGATCTGTGCTCCTCTCTTTGATCGGACATCGTTTGGTATTTATTTGTGATTTTTTGGCTTCTTGGAGCTTTTCTTTAACCATTTTCTGTGCAGTATGGCCTCTTCTCAAAGGAGTTCTTTTTCAAAATTTTATGATGGTACCTCTTCTAGACCTAAGAGAGATGATCGATGGTGTTCTTATTGTAAAAGAACAGGTCATATCAAGGATTTATGCTTTCGCCTTTATGGAAAGCAAACTGTCTTAGAAAAGATGGCAAGGATGTGTGGTCAAGCGCATTTTACTTCTTCTGAAATAACCCCTGCACCTAATGAGACCCAATCTGCATTTCGTCCAGATGAGTTGGAACGACTCCGAACCATTCTTGATTATCTGAGTAAGCCATCTGATATTAGTGCTTTGGCTATGACTGGTATGAGCTCCAAAACTCATTCTTTCATTTCTTCATGTAACGATTTTAAACATTCTTGGGTTGTTGATTCTTGTGCTACTGATCATTTGGCTTGTTGTGCTGACTCCTTTATTTCTTATCATCCTACCATTGGAACTCATACAATATCCATAGCTGATGGCTCACATACAGCAGTTGCGGGTTCTGGTGACATAAACTTACAGCAGTCCTTACATCTTAAGGATGTTCTTCATATTCCTAAACTCTCCACGAATCTTCTTTCTATTCACAAAATTACAAAAGATTTGAATTGTACTGTAACCTTCTTCCCTACCCATTGTGTTTTTCAGGATCTCGCCACGAGGAAGACGATTGGTAGTGCTAAAGAGCAAGGTGGGTTGTACTATCTGGTGTCACAATCTCCCGCAAATAAAGTAACAGATCACACCTTCATGTCTCATGGTCAATCAACTGTTGATTCTTTAATTTGGCTGCATCATAAGCGTTTGGGTCATCCTCCATTTAGTTTACTCAAATCTTTATTTCCGTCATTGTTTTTGTCTAAGTCTGTTGAGTCTTTTCATTGTGATATTTGTGAATTTGCTAAGCATCATCGTGTGTCTTTTCCTTCTAGTATTACTAAGAGTGTTGAACCTTTTGATCTTATTCATTCTGATGTTTGGGGTCCTTCTAAGGTCCTTCATTCTTCTGGAAATAAATGGTTTTTTCTTTTATTGATGATTGCACTCGTGTAACTTGGGTTTACTTAATGCGTGAAAAGTCTGAGGTACCACAATTGTTCTTTCAATTTTATAAAATGATTGAGACTCAATTTTGTAAAAAAATCAAAAGACTAAGGACAGATAATGGTACTGAATATGTCAATCACTCTTTTTCCCAATTTATACAAAATCAAGGTATGATTCATGAACTTACTTGTGTAGACACCCCTCAACAAAATGGGGTTGCTGAAAGGAAAAATCGTCACCTTCTTGAAGTTGCTCGTGCCTTACTGTTTCAAACACATGTACCCAAATGCTATTGGGGAGATGTCATTCTTACTGCAGCGTTCTTGATCAATCGTCTACCCACTCGGGTTCTCGATCATGTAAGTCTTATTCACTCCATGACTTCTTTTTTTCCTTCTTTTCCAACTTTGCAAAGTCTTCCTCCTCGAGTGTTTGGGTGTGTTGTCTTTGTTCATATTCATAAACAGCATCGCAATAAGTTGGATCCTAGGGCTCTTAAATGTGTCTTCCTTGGATATGCTCCTGATAAGAAGGGCTACAAGTGTTATCACCCTGGAAGTCGGAAATTTTTTGTTTCTATGGATGTTACATTTCAGGAATCTGAGTCCTTTTTCCAAGGTCCTCATCTTCAGGGGGAGAATAATTCATCAGAAGACTCATCACCTTCCTTCTTTGAATCTTCAGTGTCTACTCCTTCACCTGTGTCAGTGTCTCTTCCTCTTGTTCCTGTTCCTAATGTGTTTATGTCTGATCCTCCTGTGACTGATCCTCTTATGACTGATACATCAAGTACACCAGAGATACGGAAGATTGTAACACCTGAATCGTCTGAACAGCCCACATTGCCTCAACAGCAACCTCAATCGTCTGAACCACTGGTAAGTCCTGAATCTCATATTTCTGATCATGATGTTAATACTTCTGATGACTTACCCATTACTACTGCTTCTGATGATTTACCCATTGCTTTAAGAAAAGGAAAAAGATCTTGTTCCAAGAAAACTTGTTCTTCCTGTCCCTCTTGTACTCAATACCATATCTCCCATTTTGTTTCCTCCGCTAATCTTTCTGTGCAGCACAAAAGCTTTGTTTCAGCACTAGACTCTATTGCAATCCCAAAATCAGTACATGAAGCTTTGAAAGATGGGAATTGGGCTCAAGCCCTGCAAGAGGAGATGAATGCATTGGAGAAAAATAAAACATGGGAGGTTATTGATAGACCCAACGGAAAGAAAGCAGTAGGGTACAGATGGGTTTATGCCCTGAAATATAATTCTGATGGCACTCTTGAGAGATACAAGGCTCGATTAGTGGCCAAATGTTACACTCAAACCTATGGAATTGATTATGAAGAAACCTTTGCTCCAGTTGCAAAGATGAATACAGTGAGAATCTTGTTATCCCTTGCTTCCCATTACAATTGGGATATAAATCAATTTGATGTGAAAAATGCTTTCCTCAATGGTGAGTTAGAAGAAGAAGTCTACATGGAAATCCCGCCTGATTTTGATTCTGTGAAGGGGAAATAAAGTTTGTAGATTAAAAAAGGCCTTGTATGGATTGAAGCAGTCACCTCGTGCTTGGTTTGGAAGGTTTACTAAGGTTATGATGACCTTAGGATACAGACAGAGTCAAGGAGATCACACTCTTTTCTTCAAGCACTCCCAAAATGGGAAGCTTACTGTGCTCCTTGTATATATTGATGATATTATTATCACAGGTGATGATTTTGTGGAGAGACAGATTCTGCAAACACGACTTGCCTCTGAGTTTGAAATCAAAGACCTTGGGAAACTGAGATATTTCCTAGGGATAGAAGTAGCTCATTCAAGCAAAGGAATTTTTATCAGCCAGAGGAAATATGTTTTGGATCTTCTCAAAGAAGCAGGAAAGCTCGAGTGTAAACCCTCTAATACTCCTATTGAGCAGAATCACAAGATGGGCTATGAAGAAGAGAGTCCTCCAGTTGATAAAGGACAATATCAACGGCTAGTTGGGCAATTGATATATCTGGCCCATACTAGACCAGACCTAGCTTATGCTGTTAGTGTTGTCAGTCAGTTTATGCACGATCCAAAGGAAAAACACATGCAGGCAGTAGAGAGAATTCTTCAGTATCTTAAAGGTACTCATGGTAAAGGATTGTTATTCCGACGTGATGGCAATCTATCTTTAGAAGTCTACACAGATGCTGATTATGTTGGATCCGTGACTGACCGTCGTTCTACCACTGGTTATTGCATGT